ACATCTGTTCTGGCTGATGTGAAATCTGATCCTGAAATGTGACAAAGTCCATGTGAAAATTAGTGATAGAACTAAACAGTTTTGAGAGCTAGGGACATTTATTTTTATGCCTTCAACTACACTTTACTGGTGCTCACTGGGGCCTTGTACAGCAGTTATTCCAACGGGGTTTTACTGCAAATGGTAAATAAATCTTGATGCAACTGCTGATTTCTGGCGTTCAGGGTCAGACCGATGCCCCTAAAGACCACAGAGGCCGCAGAGTCCGCAGAGTCCGCAGAGTCCACAGAATCCAATTTGAAATCCACAACTCTCCACAATTATGGCTCTGGTGGAAAGATCCGGAGCCAGCGGTGAGTCATGTGCATGTGATTCTCTTCTCCGCCTGTGTCCAAACTCCTCTCTTCAGTCCCACATCTGGAGGAGACGAGGCCCACGCTGAACATGCTGACGAGGGATGTCCCCAGAACAATCGAGAGCCTGCACATTCTCAACACATGAGACTTACTCATGAGACTAGAAGCGGCCTCTGCCCGGTGTCTACTGTACACACCGGCTCTCATTCAGGACTCCCTTGAAAAAGAGGTTCTCAATCTCTATGTATGTAGAAAGCAACTAATCTTATAATATAATTTATAGCACATTTTTACAGAAAAAGGTACAGGACCTACTGCAACTGCTCCCACTAATGTCTGCTGTCGTTGTGTCCTTGGGCAAGACACTTAACCCCACATTGACTGAAGCCTGGACTGAAACACCAAGGCTGTGGCACCACTATTGTAGCAGCCATCTTCCTGTGGACTCACCACCTGCAAAGGATCAGAAAGGGCTAAAAAAAGGGGAAGAAAATGAATGAATGTATGAAAGGTACAGACCCAAAGCGCTTTCCAATGTTCAAAGTTCAGATATTGTTCCATTCTCTCCACACTGTGATGATAAAGTTTGTTACTGATGATACTTTTACAGAAGACACTGGTCCATCAAAGCCTCCGACCAAACAACATGCAATTTCCACTCAGAAAGGCCCTGGTCTGACCGCGATTCGATACTCCGCCAACATCCATCCATCCATTTCCTTCCCTTTAATCCATTTCTGGGTCGGGTTAGCTGCACCCACTTCACTTAGCACCAACCCGGACACAAAGGGACTGTGTCTCTGCTCAGACAGCTTTCCCTGTGACCTGCAGTGGAGACACACAGAGGCACGAGGCTGCAGTGGCGAGCACTTGTGCTTCACAGCAAGAAGGTCCTGGGTTTGATTCTACATACAGGACTTTCTGCGTGGAGTTTGCATGTTCTCTCCTGATCTCCTTCTAAATCACAATAACTGGAAACCCATCGTGACAGATCTGAATTGTGGTCGTTATAAACGGTGAGGTCGACAGCTCCTCGCTCCCGGAGGTCGGTGATTCATAGTTTTCGGTGGCGTTTCCAGCTCTGACTCAGTGTCTGTGGAAAGAAGCGGCTCCAGGTTTTGGTGAAACTCGCGGTGACGGTGAGAACAGAGAGAACAGAGCATCAAAGACTTCACTTTGGGTCAACTCAGAAACTCTGGAACACACTGCGTCAGGAGCCGTTAGCAAAACCAGGAGGAGGCATTAACAGAACCAGGAGGAGGTGCTAACAGGACCAGTTGTTCACCTCCACCTTTGTACAGGAAGTTGTTCACCTGTGATCCTGAACTCGCCACTCTTGAATACAATTAACCTATGATGAAAACTGATCCGACAAAGAGAGAAACTTGAGCATCTCGGGTTCGTCCTCTTCTCCACCACCTCTGCCTCCAGAGAGTTCCAGAAGTCGGGCAGAGACGTGGTCAAAGATGGATGATTGGATAATGACTTTTTTTTAGCGCGGTGGCACCAGTAACAAGCCAGCCGTGTGGCCAGAATGACTTCAGTAGCAGCTTGTTCTGTCGAGGTCCCATCCAAAGACATGACATATTCTTTTGGGAAAGTCAAACATAAACGACAGCATTAAACCGGTTTTACGTTCATCACATAATAATCCACAGCATCAGGCCGCTCGGGAAATGTACCATGGAAACTCTGAGTCTCTGAATACAAGAAATCTCCTTTTTGGGCACGAGGCTGAGACCAAACCCCCGGGCAACGGTTTTCTACATTTCACGAACGCATCGTAAATGTCTAAAGTGTTGGTGCTGGAACATAACAGCTTTGATTATCCAATGGACGACAGGAGAACGGTTATTTGACCAAGAAAATTAAATTAACGTTGTTTTTATGCGTCCTCCTGAAGGGGGTCCGTGCAGGTCGAGAGGTTTCACCAACACCGGGCAAATATGTCAAAACAAAAATACAATTAAAGGAGAGGTCAGTGAACACTTCTACAGCTGGTGTCCGTTGGTTTCAGAGCGATGACGAATGAGGACTGATGTCATGGATATTAAAAACACAATTATTGAGTGAGAAAAAGGATTTTTTTTAGGTTTTGAAACAAGGTGAACCCTGATAGACCTATTTTAGTCCTGGTTTAGATCCACGTAAACTCCATGATCTTGTTTGAGTACCTGCAGGACTACGGGACTATGAGGTGCACCTGTGTGTAAACCAGACCAGCTAAATATGAAAAGATTTTTTTTTGTGATTGGATAAAAGCCAATCACAAACCTGAGACACAACAACACACATATGGGTTAAATAAGGTGTTTTAAAGCGCCAAAGTAAACAATATTATGTATCTATGTAAACATTTATCGAGGGTGTGGTTTTTTAATAATTTGATTACATTAATGATGATGACATTAATTTACAATAAATAAAAAACCGTGACTGCAACAGAGGAAGCGGAAGATAATGGAATGGAATAAATAAAACAAAAATAATAATTAAAAGTATAAATACACATTTTCTAAGTATTTGGATGATAATGGTACTACGTTTCCACAAACAAACAAAAAAATTAGGTCATGTGTTCAGGATTCTGGAACATTCTCACAGTATTCTCCCAAACACTGTTGACGCCGTGGCCTGAAAGCAGCAGGTGACACAGAAACTATTCTAAGTGACTGATGGATTATGGGAAATCTGTGGGTTGTTCAGACATTATCGCAGCAGTGGATTATTTTAAGTTTTTGTACAAACAAGTGTGAGCTCAGAAGACAAGAATGCATCAGAGTAAACACTTAAACATGACCTAAAACGACACGTACTTGTTATAAAAGTTTGTTGCTTGTTAGATGACCGCTCACAGACCCCTTTAAATGTGTGTGACCTCTCAGTGTGAAATATGAGGAAATCAGGGGTTTATCAAAACTTATTTCAACCAGTAGACAAGAGACGACATCTGGACGCGAGGATTTCAAGTGTAAATTCTTCATCGACACGGGTTTGAAGTTCCAGTGTCTCCGAGGGAAGAGGACGCAGCCCACGCTTGGAATCAAAGAATAGGAACAAATGTCTGCGTGTAAATAATCTGCAGTTTTAATCTCTGTTTTTAAAGCTCAGAAATCAAGTCATGGAAAAAGTTTTGAGTTGCTCACACTGCAAATAGTACTGAGAAACTACTATAGTGATAAGTGTCTGTTTACATTTTGACAGTGCCTTAAAACAAGATTTTTGTTCTCAATCTGGTCTCTCTCTGATTTCAGTCTGGTTTCTCTCTCTGGTTTCTCTAGCTGGTCTCTCTCTCTGGTCTATCTATCTGGTCTCTCTCTGGTCTTTCTCTTTGGTCTTTCTGAAGATTTCTCCCTTTTTTCCCACTGGGTATAATTTAAAGTTGGTTCTTGCCAATGCAGGGTCTGGACTGTGATTATCCGGCACATTTAAGGACATTTTTTTAACATTTATTAAAATTTCTGGACAGTGGTCGTCCTGCTCCCTATGAACCAATGGCTCCTATGTGTTCGTTAATGTGTATTTCTAGTTTTCTCCTCTGTTGTTGGTGAATCGACAACATTGTAAAGTCCTCCTGCTGTTGTGATTAAGGGCTGTACAAAAACGCATTTATATTATAATTATACTTAAATTTTACACAGCGAGCCAAATAAAATGTCAGTGAAATATGATGGTTAGTTTAAAGCCTATTGTATATTTCTTGAATGCAGAAATATAGAATGAAATCCAAGCAGAGGCTAAAGACAAACCACCGATGAAAGTAATGTGTGCTGTTTTGGAAAGCAGAAATCCAATGTTTTAATATCTAAAATTTACATCTGTTAATAATAATTCTTTTTTCCAACTTCAGAAGGTCCCAAGTCCGTCTCCCGGGCGCCATTGAGAAACCATTTCACAATCAGTACCTCTGCTTTACACGATTTTAAATTCAAAACAGTGCATTTGGATGATAAATGAATTGCTCAGGTTTATTAGAAAGTTTTGTTCACTTTTATTTCCCCTTTGCTCAGATGGATCACAATTCAAAATGGACCATAAGTAGAAGCAGTCCCAAAAATACATTCTCAATAGTTATTTCAAGGCGTTTGGACCTAGAAGTGCACTTAACTGTATTCTTACTTTGATTCTCATCAATGATTTAACACAGATAAACAAACGGGTCGGGATCGATAACAAGGTAACGCTAACAAGGTAACGCTAACAAGGTAATGCTAACAAAGTAACGCTAACAAGTTAACGCTAAAAAAGTAGCGCTAACATAGTAACGTTAACAAAGTAGTGCTAACAAGGTAACGCTAACAAAGTAGCACTAACAAAGTAGCACTAACAAGATAAAAACATACTATACTTGTTAAGACTTATTGCAAAATTTGTCCAAAAATATCTATATACATTTCTTGAAAATGGCAAAATAACATTCTTTGGGGAAATTCAATAAAACATTTTTAAAACATTCTAGATAGCACCAGTTGTGTAATTGATCATGTGGCGAAGTGCGTCTGCGTTTTCCTTCTTCTGTGATTAGGTAAAGCTTGTTGTCGTGTTGTGGATTGATCCAGTGCAGCCACCTATGGTTTGATGTTGGTATTGCATCAGTTCTCTCTCAGTCCGGATGGCCCCCGAAAATAAGTCTGTGGAGAGTTCTTATGTTCTTACTGAAGCCATGGCTATCTGGTGGATGGGGACTGCGGAAGGAAGAAGGAAGAAGTCAAGTTTATTTGTATTATTAATTCTGTCTTACTAAACGAACATTCTAAGCCTGAAGTATTATAAGTATTCTCTGGGTCATTGTCTCAGCGCTGTTTTTGTAGTTGTTGATTGTTTTGTGATTAAGCGATTGAAATGTCTGATGTCTGTTAATGTCCAAGAAAACATAATACTCAAAAAACATTCATATTTGTGTATATTTCAGACTTAAATGTAAAAACTTAACTTTGTCTTTTTATGTTTAAGGCTTAGAAGGTTATTTTAGACAAAACAGTCTGATCAAAGTCTGTCTAACAAACTGTGTCTTATAAAAAAAGCTTCTCTCTGGTCTCTCTCTGGTCTCTCTCTCTGGTCTCTCTCTGGTCTCTCTCTGGTCTCTCTCTGGTCTCTCTCTGGTCTCTCTCTGGTCTCTCTCTGGTCTCTCTCTGGTCTCTCTCTGGTCTCTCTCTGGTCTTTCTCTTGTCTCTCTCTGGTCTCTCTCTGGTCTCTCTCTGGTCTCTCTCTGGTCTCTCTCTGGTCTCTCTCTGGTCTCTCTCTGGTCTCTCTCTGGTCTCTCTCTGGTCTCTCTCTGGTCTCTCTCTGGTCTCTCTCCCGTCTCTCTCTGGTCTCTCTCTGGTCTCTCTCTCTCTGGTCTCTCTCTGGCTCTCTCTCTGGTCTCTCTCTGGTCTCTCTCTGGTCTCTCTCTGGTCTCTCTCTGGTCTCTCTCCCGTCTCTCTCTGGTCTCTCTCTGGTCTCTCTCTCTGGTCTCTCTCTGGTCTCTCTCTGGTCTCTCTCCCTGTGCTCTCTCTTGTCTCTTTCATGTTGTGTGCCCTCGGTCCGCTCTTTTCTCCGGTATTTGTTCTTGTTGACTTTTTAAACTTGCTTTATAAACATTGTTTTTGTGCTATACAAATAAATATGTATCATTATTACCTGGCCTCCCGCACGTCTGGACACACTGCTCGTAGCTGTCGAAGCGGTTCTGGTTCCCTCCGCAGCCTCCGTACCAGAAGCGTGTGCAGCTCTGACTGCTGCTGTCGTAGTGCCACTTCAGGACAAACTTGGCACACGTCCCCTCCTCTTTGGACTGCAGACAGATGTCCACCGGCGTGAGGGAGTCTGGGACACACGGGGGAGAATGGAAGTTCAAATGAATCACATGTTTTTATCAATAAACTAAACTAAACTTAAAGATTTTCATGTCAAGTCATCCTTAAATGGCCCTAAAATGTCAAAAGGCATTAATAAAGCAAATACTGCTTTAACTGATAACGGTAGTTCAGCCGAGATGTTTGTATTTCAAAATGAGTTTTAGAGCCCGAAAATATTGTTATTGTTTTCATTTCGATGTCCCGCCCTCTACCGTTCTATCAATCAGAAAGTCTGTGATCTGGGTTGCCAGAGCTCAAGTAACAAGTGGCTGCAGAACAAAAAAAAAAGGCCTAATCATGATTCTCAAATTGTTAACGACAAAACAAGGAATAAAACCAGAATTTCTATTTTTGTGAAAAAGGTGTTGGTGATTTGTTGTTGACAATACTCAATATTCAGATTTTATGGTCCCAGCTGGATTCATCTGCATATCTGGCAACCTGAGTCAGGGAGAGTGCAGTACCACTTTTGGCCAGATTTGTACAAACTGCTCCTTAAACTATCGTGAGCCTTTTTGCCTTTCTGAGTGGAGTTTGCATGTTCTCCCCATGTATGCTTAGGTTTCCCTCTGGGTGCTCCGGTTTCCCCTACCACTAAAAGCGTGCACAATTTGAATGAATGTAATGAGAGAGTGAATAGTAGGCGTTGATCGGGGGCTTTGATGCATGTGTGTGGAATGATTGGAACAATATCTGAACTCTGAACATTGTAAAGCGCTTTGGGTGACCTTGGTCTGTAAAATGCACTAGAAAAAAATAAACATTACTTACTTACTTTTTTACTTATTTTTTGCAGTGTATAGAATTTCAATCAGACCAAAACAATCAATCAATCGGAAAGCACAGACCTTAATTATCAGACTCATTGTAACTGAATTGTTGTGATTTGTGAAAGTACAAAGTCTAAAACTCATGCTGACCAGCTTTTTTATGATAGAACATAGTTGCAATGTAAAATATAGTAAAATATAATCGTACACAATGTCAAAATGTACTTCATTATCATTTGTATTCTCAATCCCCATGAAGACATCACTTTATTCACATTGTTTGCCAAAGAATGTGTTCAAAGCCAACATTTCAACATCGTTTTATGGGAACAGATTTCAAGGCGCATGTTTTAAGCCGTGGAAGTCACATTTCCTGGAACAAAGCTGGAATTTTCTCCACGTTTGAATGTATAATTTGTGAACGCGAGTCAAATGAAAGGGAGAAGAAAAGCCTCAAAGATGGGATTTGTGAGTCACGGATCCTACACTGAAGCTGCCAATTGTTTTCAACACAGAATACACATTTCTGTTCGTTTCCAACAACAATTGCCCCAGTGAGCGCAATAAGAATACACTCGTCTCCTTAAACCTGACTTTCAGAAGTGATAGACAATATTTTAAATGGAAAAACTAGGATAATTTGCAGCATAGATAGTTCTTTATTATTGTAGCTTTGCAAAGGTTAGCCTGCTTTCATGCTAAGGCGTTATTGTCACGTGGGGAAATGAAGAAAAAGGGAATCCAAAATGCAGGACTAAAAATCCAATGTCATTTAATAAAATCCAAATCCAGAGTGAGATGCAGTTTTGTAATGAGCGTGGCAGCACTGACATTTACCGACAGTGGGACTATCATAGGCAAGGCAAGGCAAGGCAAGGCAAGTTTATTTATATAGGACAATTCATACACAAGGCAATTCAAAGTGCTGAACAAAATAAGAAAGCATTAAAATCATAAATAATCACAGAACATTAAAAAGAAAGCTAAAAATATAAAATCCCTCAGTTGTATGCACAGCTAAACAGAACAGTCTTTAACCTGGTTTTAAACATTGTCAGAGAGGAGGCCTGTCTCACATCTTCAGGAAGACTGTTCCAGATTTCAATCAATAGGTTGTCTTACCACATCTAACTTAATATTTCTGAACTCTGAACATTGTAAAACGCTTTGGGTGACTTTGATCTGTAAAATGCGCTATATAAATAAACATTACTTACTAAAAAATAAATCTAACTTTGGTCCCAGAGTCAGAGCTAAAGCATTTCAGTTTTGATCTGGAACAATCTTCTTGAAAATGTGAGACAGGCTTCTACTCTGACAATGTTCAAATCCAGTTTAAAATAGTTCAGCCTTGAATCATGTCTGATTCATCACTTTGAGTTGCTTTGCCTTCCTATCAGACTGATACTGTTTTATAAAAGTATGACAAATATTGTTAATGTTACTGACCATTCTTAGTAAAACCCAGTCTGCACTTAAAATCGCAGATAGAGTTTTATCATTTTCTATCATAAAAATCCTTGAAATATGTTGCCGTTTGTCCTCAAAGTTGGCCATTGAATTGTGTAATTTTATACATTATTTATAAAATGTAATTGTTCTTTTATCCTTTTCCTTTTGGCTCAGAGTAAACACCAGCTTTTCTGAAACGAAACCAAACCGCTGGAGTTTATAAAATCCATAGTTAAAGTCGACACAGCGTCAGAGAAGCTAACAATGGCAGATTCAGAATCAGACTAACACAATTGCTAATCAGTGACTTCTGGGCCAATCTGCAGCATATTTCGGTTAAAAAAATGCAGCTATTTATTGCTAATGATCAAATCAAAGACATCTGGTTTGCCTTAAGCCCTTGTTGGAGTGTATGCTAGCTGTGCCAGTGCTTTCCACAACTGACGGAGCTCTGAAGGATAAAACTTTACTTTGTGCCAAGAAACAATGAACCCGTGAACAAGGCTTTCCATTCATTTCACTTTTACTTGGCTCCTGTGTCAAAACTCCCAACGTTTCCCTTTCCACTCATTCTACTGTTTTTCTGTTATTTTTTTCTTCCTGGGTCCGGGTGGCGTTTGTGGCGGAGACAAAGAGCTGTGCTGTTTTGAAAAGTGATCACGTTTTGGGGGAAATATGGACGACAGCTTTGAGCAACTGCTGCGGATAGATAATAGGTCTGCATTCACAGTATACAAAAATAACAGAGAGAGAGAGAGACCGGAGAGAGAGAGAGGGGGGGAGAGAGAGAGACCAGTGCGAGAGACAGCGAGAGGGACCAGTGAGAGAGCTCTCACACTGTCACTGGTCCCTCTCGCTGTCTCTCGCACTGGTCTCTCTCTCTCTCTCTCTCAGGTCTCTCTCCTTCTTTCTCTCTCTGTTATTTTTGTCATTTATTTTTATCAGTGAGAGAGACCAGTGAGAGAGAGCGAGAGGGACCAGTGAGAGAGAGCGAGAGGGACCAGTGAGAGAGAGCGAGAGGGACCAGTGAGAGAGAGCGAGAGGGACCAGTGAGAGAGAGCGAGAGGGACCAGCAGAGAGAGAGAGGCAGAGAGAGAGAGAGAGCAGAGAGAGGGCGAGAGGGACCAGTGAGAGAGACCAGAGAGAGTGAGGGACCAGAGAGAGAGAGAAAGCGAGAGGGCCCAGTGAGAGAGAGCGAGAGGGACCAGTGAGAGAGACCAGAGAGAGCGAGTGAGAGGGACTAGTGAGACAGACCAGAAAAAGCAAGAGACTAGAGAGAGAGAGCGAGAGGGACCAGTGAGAGAGACCAGAGAGAGCAAGGGACTAGAGAAAGAGAGCAAGAGGGACCAGTGAGAGAGACCAAAGAGAGCAAGGGACTAGAGAGAGAGAGCGAGAGGGACCAGTGAGAGAGACCAGTGAGAGAGACCAGAGAGAGAGACCAGAGAGAGCAAGGGACTAGAGAGAGAGCGAGAGGGACCAGTGAGAGAGAGCGAGAGAGAGAGAAGCGAGAGACCAGATAAACCAGAGAGAGAGACCAGAGAGAGAGACCAGAGAGAGAGACCAGAGATAGAGACCAGAGAGAGGGGAGTGGTAAAAACAGTAGTAGTTAGAAGAAACACAGTTTTGTGTGTTGTTTTGCAAAGTAATCAAATTTTGGGGGAAATATGGACGACAGCTTTGACGAACGGCTGCTGTTTGTATGTCGGTAAAAACTGTTAAAGAACGAATACGTTTTGGAAAAAATCAAAGCCATGATGACCAGTATCGGCAAAGACACGATGTAGAGCAGGTGGCTTAAATATTAATAGTTAGTGAAGACTTGAAGAGACATAAATAATCATTCATATTTACATTTGTCTCTGACTCTACAGTTATAGAATATTTGGAGAGAAATAATTTATCATTAAAATAGATTAGGAAGGAAAGACCTGCGGATCATCTCCTTCACACAGCGAGGGTGGATCAGTCTGTCACTGAAGCTACTCCCCAGAGCAAACAGAGAGTGGTTTCAGTGTGCTGCAGGGGGGGACAGTCAGGGTCCAGCCCAGATGCATTATCATTTCAGTCCATTTTGAAAATATAATAATAAGAGTAATAATAAATAATAATAATAATGTCTACAGTGAACCTCCCATAGCAGAAGTCTTTGCCTGTAGCTGCTTCGCTCTTGGCTCCTAACGGGCGAAACTACTGCTATACGGTCATGACATGTTTACATTTTGGCAGCGGAGTGAACGGAGATTAGCAAACATTTAGCTTCATCTACAGCATCAACACAAAAGAGTATGTAATGAAACACACATGCTGCGAGACGACGAGAGTGCGGAGAGAGTGTGTTTTCTTTGGCAGCAGTAACAAGTGCTGGATCTGTGATGAAATTACACATAGTATGGCCGATAACAAACTGTTTAATGTTACAGGCAGATATTTAAAGCAGCAAAGCACCAAATAAAAAAATCTAACAAAACAAGACGGTCCAACTCTGGAAATCTAATTCCAGTTCTTTGTAATCAATCAACTAAACCCACTGACACTGATATTAATTTTAACCTTGCTCTACTTAATGTCAGATCACTATGCAACAAATCATTTTTAATTAATAATTTTATCTGTTCGTATGATCTTGATTTTATGTTTATGACTGAAACATGGCTTGACCATAATACAGGAGATGCAGTTTTAATAGAAGCCTCACCACCAAATTTCAAATTTGAATATGAAACACGAGAAAATAAAAGGGGGGGGGGCATAGCAGCAGTTTTTAAAGATCGTATTGTCTCCCATAGGGTGTCTCTTGGGAAATTTTCATCATTTGAGTATGTTTCTTTTAAAATAGAACAAAAGAAATCTTCTTCCATTCTTATTATTGTTGTGTACAAGCCGCCACAGTCATGCCATAGTTTCACTGATCATTTCACTGAGTTGCTTTCAGTTGTGTGCACAGATTTTGATGGTTTAGTCATTATAGGCGATTTTAATATTCATGTGGATAATGTTAATGACAGATACGCAAAAGAGCTGAGTTCCATACTTGAATCCTTTGGCCTCACTCAGCATGTGAGTGGCCCCACCCATAGCAGAGGACACACCTTGGACCTGCTTATCACGAAAGGGGTGAATATTTCAAAAGTTAATGTAGTTGATGTTGCTCTGTCGGATCATTTCTGTGTATTTTTTAACATGTGTTTTGCTACCAGACCACCCGCTAAATATGAAATTGTTAGAAGTAGACACTTAAATGAAAACACGGGTGAACTATTTATGGGAATGATCCATTTTGAGAACACATCATGTTCTACTGTAGATGAACTGCTTAACTCTGTCACCTCTAGTGTGTTGAATGTTCTGGACGCCATTGCCCCTGTGAAGGTAAAAATGGTCACAAATAAGCAAAAAGCCCCATGGATAAAAGCAGGCCCGGTCAGGGCACAGAAGCAAGAGTGCCGGAGAGCAGAGAGAAAGTGGAGAAAGTCCAACCTCCAGGGTGATTATAGACTCTTAAAAGAGAAGTTGTGTGAGTTTAACAGAGTACTACGTAGAACAAGAGAATTATACTTTTCTGAAACTATTGAAGGCTGCAGCAACAATCTGCGTGTTCTATTTTCAACAATCAATAGATTAACGAACCCCCCTGTTGAGTTGCCATTAGAACACTACTCCAAATCCAGGTGTAATGAGTTTGCACAGTTCTTCAGAGACAAGGTTCAGGGTATCAGAAATGCCATCACCTCTACAACACAAGTAACAATGCAACATCCAGTGAGGCTTTGTGAGCTAGCTCAATTTGCACCTGTCAATGATGAAACTGTTAAAAAGATAATCACAGGTCTTAGTTCCTCTACCTGCAGTCTGGATGTACTACCTCCTAGATTTCTGAAGTCTGTTATGTGTAGTCTATTACCCTCATTGACACAAATAGTAAACATGTCTTTTTTATCTGGAACATTTCCAATGGCCCTGAAAAAGGCAGTCATTAGGCCCCTCCTAAAAAAGAGCAGTTTGGATGCTGCGGTACTTGAAAATTACCGTCCCATCTCAAATCTGCCTTTCATGGGAAAAATTCTTGAAAAAGTTGCCTACCAACAACTTACTGAATTTTTAATATCTAATGACTCATTTGACATGTTTCAGTCTGGCTTTAGACCACACCACAGTACTGAGACCGCTCTAGTCAAGGTAACAAATGATATTCGGCTTACCACTGATGCAGGAAAAGTCTCTGTTTTAGTCATGTTAGATCTGAGTGCCGCTTTCGACACCGTTGACCATGAGATTCTCATGCAGAGACTGGAGGACTGGGTTGGTGTTGCTGGTACCGCCCTAAGCTGGTTTAGGTCCTATCTAGAAGAAAGGAAGTACTGTGTGGAGATTGGAAACTATGTCTCAGATAATATGGCCCTGACCTGCGGAGTGCCACAGGGGTCGATTCTGGGACCTCTCCTGTTCAATATTTACATGCTGCCATTAGGTCAGTTAATTCAAAGTATGAAAGTGTCCTACCACAATTACGCTGATGACACTCAGATCTATGTCTCACTGACTGCAGGAGAGCATGGGCCGGTGGACTCACTCCTTCGCTGTATCCAGCGGATCAGTGAGTGGATGCAATGCAATTTTCTCCAGCTAAATGCGGACAAAACCGAAATGATTGTCTTTGGTCCCGAGAAACAAAGAGAGACCGTCATTTGTCACCTTCAGTCTCTCTCCCTAAGGCCCTTAAATAAGGTCAGAAATCTGGGAGTAATAATGGACTCTGACTTAAACTTCAATAGCCACATTGGATCGGTAACATCAGCAGCTTTTATATCATCTGAAAAATATTGCCAAAATTAAAAATATTGTGTCCAGGGCAGACTTGGAGATTCTTATCCATTCTTTTGTTTCCAGTAGGCTGGATTACTGCAATGGCCTGCTCACAGGTATCTCCAAACATGCAGTAAGACAGTTGCAGTATATTCAAAATGCTGCAGCCCGAGTCCTGACTAGAACCAGGAAGTACGACCACATTAGTCCGGTCCTCAGGTCTCTGCACTGGCTTCCCGTGGCCCAGAGGATAGACTTTAAAGCAGCTCTCCTGGTGTACAAGTCTCTCCATGGCCTTGCACCAAAGTACATCCATGATATGCTAGTCTCATATGAACCAGCCCGGACTCTGAGGAGCGCAGGGACGGGACTCCTGTTAGTGCCCAGAGTCAGGACTAGACAGGGGGAGGCTGCTTTTCAGATTTATGCAGCTGGAGTCTGGAACGGTCTTCCTGAGGATGTGAGACTGGCTGCCTCTCTGTCAATGTTCAAATCCATGTTAAAGACTTTTCTTTTTTCCCGTGCATACAACTAGAGAATTTTATCTTTTTAACACACCTTGTTATTTATTGTTGTAACTTTTTGTGTTTTTAACTATTTTATTGTTTTTAATTACTTGTGTGATTTTTATGTTTTTAAATTACTTATGTGATTTTAATGCTTTTTAATTACATATGTGTTTTTAATTGTATTTTAATGGTGATGATTTGTGCATTGTGTGGTGTGGACTGTGAGGCGCTTTGTGTTGCCCTGTGCAGGAAAAGCGCCCTATAAATAAAGATTGATTGATTGATTGATTGATTGTTTTATGGTAGAATCAAATCTTGTTGGAGGAATTGCATATTTCTGATTTCGTCATCAGAAACACACTGCCTTCATTTACCACATCCATGCATTAGGACTTTGCCGATAAACACATAGAAATAGTTGTGACTAGTTCTTTAAGAAGGGTTTGAAAATCTGCTGGAAAGTCATTTGTGGTCTTAAATAAAAAAGCAAAAACTGTCTACAACATATTGTGCAGATTTTGTGTTAATTTTACTGTATTTGAGGATTTAGAATTTGACAAAACTGAAGTAGAATTCATGAATAAACATGAAATAGGCCCAGACTAAGCACTACTCGGTAAGGGGGAAACCGCAGCACCCGGAGGACGCCTACGCAGATACGGGGAGAACATATACTGTAAATTCCATTCAGAAAGGCCCTGTTCAGATCGGGATTCGAACCCAGAATCGTCTAACCAATCAGCCACTGTGCCGCAAAACATAATACAGTTTAAAAGAATAAAAGTTTTGTTAGATGTAGCTAAAATCTCTCTCCACACTTTGTCCTTTCTCAAAAGCAAGAATCAAACCTGCTTTACCTTCTGTTGGCAGAACCTCCTCCTGTTCCAGCGGTTCCTCTTCTCTATGAGGTTCTGGCTCTGGTTCTGGCTCTGGTTCTGTGGACGACAACAACACAAACATATTTACATTTAAGCCCAAAGTCGACGTCTTTACAAGAGGTTGTAACCAAGCTATGGGATGCGTTCACATTAAAGATTTAGAAAACTCCACGGGAAACGTTTGGAATTGGAACTAAATTTTCGAATTCTGAGCGACAAAAGTTGAACCATGTATTTGACCAACGTCCAGAAATGTAAAAAAAAGTCCCGGACCATAATGCATCACTGAATAAGCCCATGTGTTTAAGGATATCAACCAAAAAACCAAGTAATCAACTACAGTCAACTAATTTGGTTCACAACAGTTTGTTCACCAACTCCACAACGTTTGGACAAAACAAGCAAAATTGAAATTCTTTTTTGTTGGTTATTTTGAAAGTTTGACTCAATCTTTTTTTTTTTTTTTTTTTTACTCAAGACAAAATTAACCTTTTTGAATCAAAATCAAAATTGCACGTGTATTACAACTAATACACGTGCAAAATTTGAGGTTATTTCTAAATATATGCATTTTAATTCACGTGTGGTGAATTCCTTTTTCCCAAATTCAGCAATATTCAAATTTCTCATATCTTCAAAACAATTGCTGAGCTATAATAATATTGTTCATGTATATATTTTGTGTATACCTCTAATGTGAATGCAACCTCTAAACAAACATCAAGCATATTTAGGCAAGGCGAGGCAATAGCACAATTTGTCCAAAAAGTGCTTTACAAAACAAGACAGGGTGCATTAAAGCTGGGGTACCTAACTTACTCTGGTTTCATACATACACTGTCTTTGCCCCAACACAAAGAATCTTAGTCAAATGTTGTCAACAAATCAGGCAACAACCTCAAACTGGCTTTCCTGGGGAGAAGCAGCCGATCTACTCCGAGCTCCTCCCGTGTGGAGCAAAAATAGTCGCGAGAGTGAGGGACTAACTACATGGGGTTTTCTTGACTTAGTTATGTTTAGCGGTGTCAAACTTAGGTCCCCCAGCTTTAAAATCACACCACACAAACACATAAAAAACACATATAATGACATCACATGTTTTTCAGACATGAAGAGTGCATCACAATCAGCCTGGGGGCAAAGCGTTGGCCTCAGGTAGCTCCATCCGTGTACGTTCTGGGCCTCACCACAGACTTACCCCCTTTCATGCAGTATCTCAAGCAGAGGGCCTTGGACTCGAATCTATTTGCATTTCCTCCGCACCCTCCGTACCAGAACCGTGAACAGATCCCGTGCTCATAGTCAAAGAACCACATAGTCTGATAGTCTTTGCACGGCTCCCCCTCGTCAAACTCAAGAAAGCATCGGTCTGCATGCAAAAAATAACAGAGAGAGAGGGACCAGAGAGAGAGACCAGAGAGAGAGAGGGAGAGACCAGAGAGAGAGAGGCCAGAAAGAGAGAAGAAGAGAGAAAGAGAGAGCGAGACCAGAGTCAGAGACCAGAGAGAGAGAGAAAGAAAGAGAGAGACCAGAGAGAGAGAAAGAAAGAGAGAGGGACCAGAGAGAGACCAGAAAGAGAGGGGAGTGGTTAAAAACATTAGTAGTTACAAGAAACACAGTAGAATCCAATTTATTAGAGTTAAATCAAAATTTGGAAGATTTGTTATTCAATTATTTATATGAGAAGTTCATAGAGAGAGTAAGTGAATACATCTGGATTGAAGATATACACACAGGCAGAAGAAATAGGCCATATTTCAGAGATCAGGAAAGATACTTCTTGTACATAATTTTTTGACGAATGAACATATTTTCCTATTTTTCTGCAAAAAAAAACAACAAAAACAAAACAGACAATAGAACACATTAGTTCCCTTGCAAATGTGAGATCTTCCCAAGAGATCTGTCTCAGCGTTGTCATCATTTTACATTTTTTTGTCAGAATATATCTTCACTTGATTGATAACAATGATGGACATACAGGTTTTTGTGTCCAAAATATGTTTCAATCAAATCTCTGGCTCCCTTTAGAAAAATCCAAATCCATCATGTGACTTGTTATTCTTGTCCAAAACCTGATGAAAATATGATTTGGAAACTGACAACTGCTCACCACCGGTTGAGGTGAGAGGGTGAGAGAGGGTGAGAGGGTGAGAGGGTGAGAGGGTGAGAGAGAGAGAGAGAGAGAGAGAGACCAGAGAGAGAGAGACCAGAGAGAGAGAGCGGGACCAGAGAGATTGGGAGAGAGAGAGAGAGAGAGAGAAAGACCAGAGGGACCAGAGAGCTGTTTTGGCAACCAACAACCACTCACCGCTGGGCCCAGTTACAATCTCAGGAAGACAGGAAACGGAATGTTACTTTGCCAAAGGCTGTTAACCAAGAAAATCCATTTAGGACTGTTCTGACAAGCTCGGTGGGAATTTGGTGCCAAAATTCCCCTCCCACTCATAGCAACCTCATAACAACCAAAGAGCCAATCAGGAGTGACGCCGGTTCATTCACAATCATGCCATCCACAGCCTACACCAAATTCTGGGAAAGAAGCTACCTGGTTGGTCAGTTATTACGGCTCATATCTTGGCAAAGGCATATCTAAAGCAAGTTAAAATAAAAACGCCGGATGATGACAGGAGGTAAAAGTTAAAACACCATTTAAAGGCCAAAACAGAGCAGTTACAATACAAGTGAATGAACTCTGGACTTTCCCACCGGGTCGTCTCTCTTTGGCATCAGAAATGCTTCTATCTCAAATAAACAGTCTCTGGGTTTGATTTAAGTTTGTTGAGAGAGAAGCCCTTTCACACTATTATATCAACGGGACATGAAAGCAGACATTATACTGTATATACTAAACAACAATTAAAATTCTGTGTAGCCAAATAGCGGGAGTAATAATTGACAGTAATAATAATTTTCATGATGTCTTTTAATGTTTATGGACCTTGTTTGTCTGCAAAAAAAGCTTTATCTACAATATACTGTATAAAAACCCAAACGACGTCTCGGTCACAGATTAGCTGCTGCAGATGTTTTCATGCCTCAGTAAAGCACTCCTTAAAACAGCTGTAAATTCTCTTCCCAAGAGTATGTTAAGTCACAGTGAATGTAAGAGGGAGACTAGGACTGCAAAATATATCACTGAATATTAGAATAAGTCCAAAAACTATAAAGTATATCTGTATGCTCACTTCATTATTTTCTTTTTAAATACAATACCATATATATGTCAGAGTAGTTTACATCATATTTTGCAGCCCAGAAGTATAGCTGAAAACCAAGTTGCTGAGAAGGTTGTAAAGTGTTACCTGTTACTGGTTTGTCCAGTGGAGCCGTGGTGGTAGTTTCAGTGTTTGTGTTGAGGACGACGGGTTTATTCTCTGCTACTTCTGCATAAAACACAGACATTAGAATCAGTCTTTCACAATATTCAAGAATATATGAATCTGTTTGTGCCTCATTGCTTAGTTCACACTCAAACATGTCATAAATATGCAGCTTCACCCAGACTCAAGCACGGCCCCCCAGAAGAATTTCATTTGAGACCCATGCCTTTAACTAAAGCACCATCCTTTCCAGACTCTATTAATTATATATCTTTATTTTATCTAACCAAAGAAGGTCCTGGCCAAGAGGCAGCAAAGTTAAACAAATGACAATCAAATAAAAAATATTACAGGTAATTTAGACTGTTCAATCACATAATAATAATAATAATAATAATCATCCATTGGTTTTATACAATGCTTTTCAGGACTTTCAAGGACACTTCACATACTTCTTTCACTCCATACACGGTGCTGATCTGGCTTTTGCATGCAAGCATGGCCCTAATTTTGATCCAACTAGCTACTATAGAGTAGCAATAGAACAAAATGTAATTGTCAAAATGGTTTTTGAGTCATGGAAGCTACGGTTAAAGATGTTGCTGGTGCAGCTTATTTACAGGTTATAGTTCAGACGGTGTTATCCGTCTACACCATAGAATGTAAAATCTCCGCCATTCAAACAAATGGGCCAAAGATTGTGCTGTACTGGAGCTATCCAAAATGGTCGCGAGTGGTCCTGCCCACAAGAAAATTGTGAAAAAACGCATCTGCGCATGCGTCAGCTGCAAGAGCCCCATTCATTTAAACGAGTGCCATCAAACTAGATTGGTCCAAAAAAAAACTCCCCTCAGAATTGGAACGGAGCTTTGGGCCAAGAGCCAGCTTTTGGACCATCCTGTAAAGGTGTTTTCGAGAGGTCAGCTAATGCTATATTTTTTAGCATTGGCTAATTCTTATTCCGGGTCCACCCCCATCGGCCCGGGGTGGTATTGCAAGCATGTCAGCGCATCATTTTGGCCACTTTTGAGCCGGGACCCGCCCCCACTGATCTACACAGAGCCAAAGCGCTCTCTGTCTGACCTCCACCACTGGCCTCTTGTCTGCACTTACTGGTGGTGACGATGCCTTTGCTCGTGTGCACAATGCTGCCGTCGGCCGTGTGCGCCGTGACGACCGCGTGGTAGGACTGGCCGCTCTGCAGGTGGTCCACGGTGAGCTCTGTGCCCGACACGTTGGTCTTCAGCACCAGAGTGTGGTCGTTCAGACGAGTCACCGACACCTCGAAATAAACAAAGTGCTTGGGGTCGGGGTTCGTCCAGCGCAGCTTCAGACCGCTGGAGGTGATGTTGAAGACGTGCAGCTCGTCTGTGTCTGCGGACAACAAAGTGCAAGACTTTAAAGAAGCAAAGTGTAAGATTTTCACGTGATCAGTGAAGGACCCTAATCTTTCAAAAGGCATCAATACATCAATAATCTTTTCCAACACTTACTGTATCTAACTGATAACAGCAGTTCAGGGATATTTGAATTTCAAAAAGTTTTACAGCTCCTTAATCTTGTTATATCTAAAAGGGAACGTGAGCTGGGTTTAGACAGTCATGAGAATATAAAAGTGATACAAATAGCCAAAACCCTACTAAAACACACGCCTGATATATATTTTTACTTGTAGAACTTGTTTGCACCATGAGCCAAAGCAAAATCCTAGCTTGGAACATTATTATGTATCTCTGAAGTGTTAGACATAACACTGACCAATAAAGGAAATAAATATGGTGTGGATTTTTTGTTATTTTGTGCTTTGGTGTTTTTTTTTAAACTCTGTTCTCTGTGGTTTGGTTTTGGTCGGCACTAGATCATATACGGAATCGGGACGAAACCGGAAGTAACAATCCTACTTTCGAATTAGTTTTAGACTGATAAGTCCTTAAGTGGTGACGGGTTAAGTTTTAGGCGTCTGAGTAAGATGGTTAAGGTTAGGTTTACAGTGGGGCGGCTGTGGCTGTAAAGTGCCAAACTGCCGTTGTGTCCTTAGGCAAGACACTTCACCCCCATTGCCTAGAATGAGTCGGGTGTGTGTGTGAATGGTTGGTGGTCGATGGCACAGACTGGTTGCCTCGCTTCTGTCAGTGTGCCCCAGGGCAGCTGTGGCTACAGTAGTAGTTTATCACCACTGTGTATGGAGTGAAAGAATAATGACATGTGAAGCGTCTTTGAGTGTCCAAAAAAGCGCTGTATAAAACCAATACATTATTATTATTATTATTAAGGGTGGGTTGGGGTTATTTTATGGGAATGGCTGGTTAAGTTTAGGCATGAATAGGTAGTTTGTTATATTTACTTCCGCTTCCATCACGATTCCGTAAAGGATCTAGTGCTGATTCACCTGTGTCTCTTTGTGTTGTTGTGTCTCTGACTGTTCTATTACGTCTTGCTCCTGGTTCTCTTTATTTTTGAGTTTTGTTTTTAAACCATTATTTTTGGCATTACTGCATTTTGGGTCCTCATTCATCTAACCACGTGACATATGGAAAAAGAGAGGCATGCGTTCAATGCTTTGGACATGAGAACTATTTTCAATGCTAGACTATAATATTTCTGAAAATTAAATTGCACAAGGGGGTTTATTCATGGACAAGGGTAGCAGAATAAAGAGTATTATCCATGAACTATATGTATCGGTCTTTACCCTGAAAGAACCTTCTTGTCCAGTACCTTCTTGCAAAGATTCAGAGCAAATACATCCAATAAAAGTCAAAAAAGTTTTCTCAAACCTTTGTGTGTTTTATAATGATGGACCTCCTGCTGTTTTTCATGATGTTTCTCGTGTTTCCTTTGAAAACAGAACAAGAAACAAATTATGATTACATATTACAGCTGTTTCCAATCTCTGGAATCCAGTGGCCCTCATACCCTTTAAAAAAAGACTATTTTATGGTTTTTTTGTTTACATTTACAGCTGGGCTACCTAATGTCCGCACCGAAAGACCTGGAGGATGAATCGAACCTAGGTTATTATTTATGAAACAAATGAGATATATACAGAACCCCAGCTTTATTCTATCCAAATATTTCATTTACATCTCGATTGGGGTACCTTCACAAACACCGGGAGAACATGCAAACTCCACACAGAAAGGTCTGGAAATGGAGGTTTCAGCAATAATTATTCATTTTTACATTAGCATGCTAACTCCTATTCTACATTAACACACTAACACACACTCTACATTAGCACACCAATACATACTCTACATTAGCATGCTAACACATACTGTTGCTGTGACGTCATGAATGGGTTTTTATGTGGCTGGTCGCTCTGGAACCACTCGCAGTGTTTGGAGACTTCGGGCGACATGTAGAAGGCGGTCTCGACTGGAACGAGATCAAAGCAACAGCATGGTTATGACATCACACATTTGCTCAGGATAAAGTCATTATTTTATGGATCACTTGGTTTTTTGCTTCCACTTTGGCTCCTTCTTTTACAGACTGCGGTTTTCCGAAGCCAAATCTCACCACAAACACTTGTTTCTCACACACAGGGAGCTTTGAAACTAGATTGGAACAACTTCTAAATATTAACACATAAATCGTTTTAAAAGAGCTACGGGGAAAGAAACTGGAAGCCTTAATTATTAATATTATGATGAATAATACACTTTAAAGAGCTTGCATACATAACAATGATAAATGAAGAAATGGAAATGAGAACGAGATCTTAAAACTTTGGCATTGGCAAGTTCAATGTGCCTTTAAAAGATAGCTAATTACAGAAATGAGAGTCAACTTTATGTGACATAAATGTTTATCAGTCTATGCAAGTTCTGATTGTCAATCTAATGATTTAGCCGAACATTCATCAATGGATTTTGTAATTTGTGGTGGCATCGGCCATCTTGAACGTTGTTGTCTGCTGGAGCAGCAGCATCACAGAAAGGAACAGGAAGAAGCTGGACAAGGTCATCAGGAAGTCTAGCTCAGTCCTGGGCTGTTCCCTGGACACAGTGCAGCAGGTGGGGGACAGGAGGGTCCTGAGCAAACTAACATCTATGCTGGACCATGACTGTCACCCCCTGCAGGACACTCTCTCTGCCCTGGAGAGCAGCTTCAGTGACAGACCTATTCATCCTTGCTGTGTGAAGGAGAGGTTTCGCAGGTCTTTCCTCCCTGCTGCTGTCAGGCTGTACAACGAGAATGTGTAACAAGAACTGCTGAGTCTGTACAAGTGTCACTAATAATTCACTATAACTTTGTCACAAGTCTACTGTTATTAGTATTACTGCATTTTTACATATCCATCTGATATTTATCTGATATTTACCTGTTATTAGTATTACTGCATTTTTACATATCCATCTGATATTTCTGCCATTCACTAGTCACTTTACCTGTTGATATTATTTCTGATGCTAATGTACAATATAGACATCTGTAAATACTTCTGAACCAAGTGCAATTATAGCCCCAGAGTTTATCTTATTTTATTTTATTCTTATCTTAATTATATTGTCTATTATCTTAAATAATAGACTCAATTTGATGTGTGCAATCTGAGTGCTCTTATTTCCTTCTTTCTCTGCTGTAATGTGCGCAACGATGACAATGAAATTTCTCCACTGTGAGACGAATAAAGGTTTAACATGTTTACGTTGATTTGAAAACGAATGAATAGATTCTTTACACTATACTAATTACTAAACGGGTGATTATTTTAAAACACTTTTTTGCACCTGCTGTATTTGTTTAACGTAAACAATATTCTAGTAAGTTATAGTAAAGTTCTAATCGATCAGAATCTTCCTTAGACTTTGAACAATTAAGGTCCAAAATTGCAGAATAGACTGTATTTATTTAACACCAACAAGCGTAAAGAAATTTAGAATTTTGGGCAAGTTTTTTCTTTCATGTACTAATGGAAAATAGATTTCTTAAACTTTAAACGGGAAAGGTCCAAGATTGTTTTATACTTGGACTCATTTGAGAACCTGTTCTTGCTCACATCAGTACCGTTTTTTAGCATGGTCTGACTGTGGCTACGTTTGAACAACCCAAGAGTCATGATACTGTGATGTATTGCTTTGTTCATACTATGTAAACGATTAGTTGAAAATGAATGTAGCAGAATCAGTAAAACGACAATAGATATACAGCTTAAAAGAACTTACTTGTCACATATTTGGGAATCATCTGTCCGAACGTCAGAATGTCCTTGTCGTAAAACTGCGACAGAGAGTTTATCCTCTTAAAGAACACCTCCGAGGGTTCAGAGGCCATTCTGGACAACACCCTGGCATCTCCCGCGCTCACGGCTTCTCCTACTCCAAAAATCACCAAGAAATATCCCCGACACTTCACTTCTGTGGCGATCCGGACTAGGCGATCTTCATCCTTGTCCACATTCCCGGTCACAAAAAGCATCAAAACTTTACGTTCCCTGGGCACCGGCGCCTCCTCGAAGACCTCCTCGACCGTGGCTTCGATGGCTTCGGCCAGAGCTCGTCCACCTTCTAACTGCGGCGTCTTCGCCAGTAAGAAGTTCACCACACTCTGTGAGGACTTGTGCTCCGTCAGGCCCACGTCAATGGAAATGGGCGACCCGGTGTGGTTACGGAGATAGGAGTAAGGGGCTTGCTGGATGACGGAGATTCGGGCCTGGTGCAGGGAGGCGGAGGGGTCTGACGAGACTTCCAGCTGTTTTACGATGTGCGTGATGTAGTGTTTGATTTCGGTGAAGACGAAGGGGAAGGTGGACTCCGAGCTGTCCACCAAGAAAGCCAGGTCGATGTCGGCGTCGGTGATGTAAGATCTCCGGTCGCGGCCGAACTGGGGAGGGACGTAGTCGCAGATCTGGTCAGGGGCGCAAGCATCTGGAGGACGGAGAAAAAACAAACATTTGGGGTGAATTTTGATCTAAAGAATTGAAACACTTGTGCTGCTACCACAAACACATCCAAACAAATCACCAACAAACTTAGCCTGACACAATGTAAGGTGTCCTTGAGCAAGACACAGAAATTGAAAAAGTAATTCGTAGCAATAGGGACATCATTTAGGAATTTACTTATTCCCCGTGCAGCTGAAATGAAATTCTAGAACAAAGGTCAGGAACCTTTTTAGCTGAGAATTTTATACTGAAGAAATCCAATACATAAGTAATTCTTACTATTAATTCCTACTAAGATTTGTCTGAGAGTCAGACACAATCATCAATGGCTCACTAACACAGAGTATACAGGAAATCGATGAGTAATTAGAGGAAATACTACATTCCACTACGAAACTGACGCTAAATGATCAGTCAAATACTAGAGATTGAGTACTACTAATAAGACTGCTGAAACTTCTAAAACTAACTTTAATTCAATTGCATTTAGAAATGTCTTCATGTTTAAGGATTAATACTCTTTACTTTCTGTCTTATCAACCCTTAAACTAATACATTTAAGTTACACTATTTATCACATTTCCAAGGTGATGACATGTGGACAAGTGTCTCCCTTTAGTCCATCACTGGAGCCAATCCGTTTTCATTCTCGAAGGAACTGTAGAGTATGTGTAAAAATGCTAATGTACAGTATGTGTTAGCAGGCTAATATAGAGTATTTTTAGCATGCTAATGTGGTATAGGTGTTAGCAAGCTATTGTAGAGTAAGTGGGAGCATGCTAATGTTGAGTTGGTGAAACTTCTCTTTTGATTGGTGAAAAGTCATCAACACAGAAAGATAAACTGTGATGTCACATGATAAAGCAGAGTTCTTTACCATAGCAGAGGTGGCAGCTCTTGACCTTCTGCAGAGCGGTTCTGTACTGATTGCTGTTATTATTTCCTGCGAGGACGATGACCTGGGCCAGAGCAGTGTTGTTCCCCTGAGAAACACAGAGAAAACAACAAAGAAGTTACTATTTTATACAATTTCCCTCTTCACTTTATGAACAAAACTCTCTGGTCTTATTTTACGAGCCCGGATCACCGGAATGATTGACAATTGGGAGGACCAATAGTTTTAACCCTCTAGGCGCCACGGTCGACTTAAGTCGACAAGCTGCGGTACTGTTTAAAACGGCCGAGTGTGTACAACAGACTGTCAAAATTCATTCATACTCCTTGCCACTAGTTTGCAGACATGTCAGACTATCTCCGTGGCCCCAAAAACGTCATGCTCCCATCAAAATATTCGAGCAAGGCCGCGTTGAACTAGTGCGGAAATCATAGTGAAACGACTGCAGCTGCGGGGCTGCGTGCGAGTGTTATACCCATAGACTGTATATATAAACGGACAGTCACTCCTATCTCCGCTGTTCTAACCATAGACTGTATATTTAACGGACAGAGTCACGCCTATCTCCGCCGTCCTAACTAATGGGCCAAAAATTGTGCTCTACCGGAGTTATCCAAAATGGCCGCGAGTGGTCCCGCCCACAAGAAAATTGTGAAAAAAACGCATCTGCGCATGCGTCAGCCGGCGCAGCTCCATTCATTTGAACGAGAGACTTCAAAAATTCACAGCAAGTAAACTAGAGTAGACCAAAAAAATTCACCCCCCTCAGCATTGACACACATGTGGAACGGAGCTTTGGGCCAAGAGCCAACTTTTGGTCCATCCTGTAAAGACATTTTTGAGAGGTCTGCCAATGCTATATGTTAGCATTGGCTAATTCTACTTCTGGGTCCACCCCCATCGGCCCGGGGTGGTATTGCAGGCATGTCAGCGCACGTCATTTTGGCCACTTTTGAGCTGGGACCCTCCCCCACTGGTTATACCGCACCAAACACTAACTTTAGACACTTTGCACAGAGTCAGTGGTGGGAACAGTGTGGGGCTGTCATTGGGAGGTCCGAATACAAGTTAGATTTGCGGAGAACAAGCTTGGAACTTGCGTCGGGGCTCCGCGCCGCGACCTCCACCCTCCGCTAAAATCTCCGCTAAAATCCTCGCTAATAATGCTTCCCACAGATGTATTTTCATGCCTCCCGTAATCACGGGGACAGTAACGTGTTGGAGAAGCCTAGACGAGAGAGAGAGCAGGGGAGACAGCAGCAGCGGGAGGGTCGCGGTGACGCGCGCGTTTGGGCAGACTGCTCACAGCAGCACCATGTTTTGTATTTTTTACTATTTCCATGAACATTTACAATATTACAGTATGTGCTTTGTCTGTGTTCATGTCCTAGTGATCAATATATGTCTGTCAGTTAGAAAAATAAAAATATTGTATGAAAATTCTAAACTCCACAATTTCTTCCGCCATGTGACGTCATAATATGCAAATTAGATGGGTGGATTTATTCTCTACATAAACTTTGGGCCATTCTTAATATTTTTCTAATTTACAGAAAGCCTTTATCTCTTATCACTTAAGTAATATCCTTTTGAAATTAAGAAGTCAAAATCAAGCGTTTTAGAAAAAAACCTCTCGAGCTTAAAGGGTAAACGATCCACCCGGAAGTAGGAAATCCTCTTATACACTTTTTAAGGATGATTTTGTTTTACTTAATCTGTATCTATCCAGGAAAGTCCGAATTAGATCATTTAAAGAACATATTTTAAGGGAGTCACGGAGTCCTGAGTCTCAATTTTCACCCTCTTTAAAACTCATTCAGTCTGCCCATCAAAATCTTTCCTGTTTATTTCTTGAAGAGGAGTTTGTTATCGTTGGCAGCAGGACCACACCTCTGCCACTCATTTCCGGTTCAGGGTCTTTTTATCCTCTATCTTGATGACATCCTTATACAAGACACATTGAAACTGAAATATACTCAACAATATATACATCATTGTCAAGATCAAACTTTAGTCAATAATAGTGAGTGATTTCTGAGGCTATGCTACAGTTCAGGTTAGGGCTTTGACTTCAAAATGTGATATTCGAATATAATTCGAATATTGAAATACACTATAAATATATATTTTCAAACGAATATTGGACAGCCCTTAATATTCTAAATGTATTTAATGACTGTAAATAAAATATTTAGCTCCCAAAGGGGTCGCTGTGACGTGGCTAGGCGGATAACAGCTAAGCTAGCTAGTTCAAAAACTCTCTGGAACTACATGAAAACCCAACAACAAAGAATTCTGAGCATCAGCGGTGAGTGACCCATTTATATACCGAACCTATATCCATAATCAGATCCTCTTCAATGTGTCCTAAAATGTTCATTTCATGTTAATGGTTTTATCGCGCTAGCGGAAGTAGCCGCAGGCTAACGGAGCTAGCCACAGGCTAGCCTCTCTGCACAGACCATGGATCTACAACACAGACGGGCGCCTGCTGAAAGCCTGTTGTACTTGCTGAATAATGTTTGGAGCTGTTTAATAAATTATAATTAAATATTCGAATATATTCAAATATAAAAATTAATAAACAAACGAATTTCGAATATGATTTTTGTACAAAAGTCAAAGCCCTAGTTCAGGCAGGTGATTGTAAAGCCTAGTGGATCCCTGGGCCAAATGTTTGAAATTCCAAAAACTGTATTTATGCAGAAGGGTCTAAGGCAGGAGTGAGGAATCTTCTTCTCCTGCCTCCTGTTTTTCCCAGGCTTTCTTCATTTTTAAAGTGATATATTTTATTAAATGGGCCGGAGGGGCCGCATCTGGCCCACGAGATGGGGTTTGCCCACCGCTGGTCCAAGGACAGTGATGATCCGGGACATTTCTAGACATTAGTCATCCGCACCTAATTGCTCCTAAGGACATACATTGATATAAATTAATAAATGCTTAATGTGTTTTCCCAATAGTCTGATGTCAAGGTCGAAGGTCCTTGATGTGATGCCTGCTTCATATTTCCTCTAGAAACCTTCTATGTTTTGTATCCTTCAACAGCTACCATGTAATGCCACTATACAATGAAGGGCTAGACGATTAGTATTTTGATTTAACTTTGGCCAACTCCTTTTGAGCTCCATATATGAAAATGCAAATCCTTTTTATCTGTATGTGTTTCTTTCAGCTCAAATAAACATCTGAACTGAAAAAATATTTAATTTATTTGGTGTCTATCTCGTGTTTCTTGTTTTAATGCTTTCGAAGTGCTACCATCAAAAGAGATCCACACCTGCAGAGCTGTCGTCAGCTGCCTGTTCTCTCTGGTCACCAGCAGAACTGTGGCGATCCCAGCGTTGTGAAGCTTGAGAGCCGCCAGGGTCACAGCCTGAGTGTTCGACACGGGTCCACCCACGAAAAACACGGCCACCTTTCTTATCAGGAACCCACTGCGCACTCTCTTGAACGTATTCTGGGCAACGAAGGTCATCGCGTTGGCCAGGTTCCTCTCCTTCCCGGTCCTCCTGGTCTGCAGTCCTTCGATGTGTTTCTTGAGGTCGCGTTTCTTCAGGTTGTCGGCAAATCGTATTTCGGTGGTGACCTCGTTGTTGTACATGACCAGAGCCACGCGGGCGCCTCGCGGGCAGTTGCTCTCGGTGATGGTGAGGTCGCCCACCATGTTAAGGACGGTCTCGCGCATGCTGTTGAAGGCCGTGCCCACGTTCTCGGACACATCCATGGCGAAGGCGAGCTCGGTCGGGTAGATAGGGCACTCAACCTTGCCTGGAGATAGAGTTCAGATTCAGATTCAGTTTGTTTGCCATTTGCAGTAAAAACCCAATAACCCAAGTGCAAAAGTCCCCAGTGTGGACCAGACAAGCTACAAAAACAGGTGAAGATAAATGTTTGTGGAAATGAGCTTTTAGCATGTTAGCATATCCAGATATCCTGCAACTCGGCAAAAAGAAGGAAGAAGCTGGAACATGGCTTTTCCAGGACCCAGAAGAGTCATTGATTATTCTAAGAGCTTGAAATAAGAGTCTTGTTTCATAAAGAACCTGCAGAACAGAAAGATCACAGTCCTCTTTGCATAAATTGAAACGAAAATCAATCCAACAAAAAAAATCAGCGCCCATTTTACAAACTCTATTCGAAGGGTAGTTGTGGGCAAAGTTCACATATTTTGCTACACTTAATATGCCCTCAGCGTGACCTTGCTTTTTACTAGACTGGAATTGGAAATAATGACCACTCACCGAAACAGCAAGCTGAAACACAAAAGACAAAAAACAGTCGTTATTATCAGCAATCAACACAAATGTCCTTTCGTCATGAGGTGAAAAGTACTCACCGCAGTTTTCCCGAATTTTCGTCACCAGTTCACATTGCTGTTGAAACAGAAAGAGACTTTTTCATTCACCAAACGCATTTTTGCTTTGTTTAAATGAATGATAATGATACGTACCACAATTCCAGGACCTCTGGGACCTTTCTCTCCCTGTGGACGAGAAACACATGGATTTGTCTAAGTTGTTCTCAGAGCAATCCTATAACAAACCAGATAGACTTTCCTTTGTGAAGCCGTCATCAAATTCATTCAAAATACTAAACCCTCACCATGATGTAGGTCACAGTTTGATCATAAAACGTGTATTTCTTAATGGACAGAGCAGGTTTATTTTAAAAAAAAGAAATCACATATTTTGTATGCTTCAGAAAATATACAATAAAATAGCTGCTTACGGGAGGTCCAGGATATCCGTTCTCTCCTCCTTGACCCGGATCGCCCGCGCTTCCAGAAACTCCCTGAAGAAGCGACATTTCAGACACAGAAATACAAAACACTTGGATGATTGGGACAATTATGGACATGTATGAACATTTAGGAGTCAACAACTTTTAGGGATGTACGAAAATAAATAGAAAATAATTGATTTGTTATATGTTTGAAAAAGAATATCTGGTGCTTTTCTGTTCGTCATTGATAAAGTATTAAACATATATCAGTATCAGTATGTCAAGCAGGAATTGTACAGCAAGCAGACATTTTTAGTTTTTTTAAGGTTTAATTTGTTTTTAAGATTCTACAACATTTGCACATGACATAATAATTTACAAGTTTAGGATTAAAAGCCTCATTTCTCACCCTCTGTCCTCGATTTCCTCCTTTTCCGGGTCCTCCCTTGGGTCCTGGATCACCGCTTGGTCCCTGCAACACAACATATACTTTAGCAACGGAGTTCCATCTTCAAAAACGTATTAAATACAATCTTGTTTTCCTGATATTGTTCATTCAACTTCATCACTCATGAACATGCAGAAAAAAAAATGTTTTACATGGCAGCCCTTTCCCAATCGTTGTGAGTTAGCTGTTAGCATGTTCGTTTGGAGAATAACTTACTTTAGGTCCTGGCGCTCCGGGGAATCCTGGAGTTCCCTGTGAAAACAAGAGAGAACATAATTTATCTCGGTGTGTATTGTGTACAGTATATGGTGGTTTGGACTGATTCCTTCTTAGTCCTACAACAGTCATTTGCTCAAATTGTTGCTCCTGAAGAGTCTGGGCAGGTCTCATTCTGTCCTTGTCATGACGTTTTTTTTTTTTTATTCCACCTACTTTTCTTCCTGCGGGTCCAGGAGTTCCGGGTCCATCTCTGCCATCCAAACCCTGAGCAAGAAAGAGAAAGAAAGGAAAAGAAACATTTAAATAACACAATGCATTAAAATATAACAATAATAATAACAATAATCACAGATCATTCAAACAGTAATGATAAATTCATTCAGTTGTAGCACAGCTGAAGACAGAAGAAGCCTGTCTCACAAAAATCTGACAAGTTTGCTTCCCATAATCAGCCCTGACTCCTGGCACCAGCAGGCGGCCAGTCCCTCTACTCAGATTCTACATGTTTTATTTAGAACTGCAAACAAAGGTGGAACAGGCATTCAATGTTGAAAAAACACAATACATTGGAGACTAAACTACATCAACAAAAGCAAAAACATGGTCTCAATACCAGTGAGTATGGGGGAAACTAAACTTCACCAATACAGTACTTTACACCCTACTAATACAATAATCATAATATTTTGTTTGAATGGGACAAAAGTAAGCCACTTCCTGATAGTATACTTGTCAAAACAATAAACACCATGTCTTGTGAATAAATGTATGTTAGATATTGTTGGCACTGTCTGAGAAATGCAATTACAAAACAAATGTCTAACCTGTCTCTAAAGCAGGTCTGTTGAACTTTCTCATAGATACCACAGTTTGTTTATCCCAACAGTAAACATTAAATTGTATGAACAAATCCGTCCGAACCATTCCGTCTTCACCAAGAAAATATGTAATCTTTTGTTTACTTTGGGCTGAGAGCTTTGGACTGATACTCCCTGTATCTGTACACGTGAAAACCAGTGATCGAACCAAACTGTTATTAGAGCAAGGAAATGGAGATATGGATTTTATGGCATAGTTTGTACTTTGAAAATTAAGGTACTAAACTTTTATATGAATAACAAACTTTGACTTACGGGTTCTCCAATCGGACCCATCGGACCCTGGACTCCATCTATTCCTGGATCTCCTGGCTCTCCCTATGAAAACATATCAAAAAGATAAGAGAATGGAGGGAAAAAGCATCAGTAATTGAAAGCAGTCGGAGTGTGCAGTAGAGTAAGTTCCTGTCAAAAGTAAGCAGTGGTTTGGGAATCTGCAGATGTGTGGCCAGTAATGTGAGAGCACAGGGATTAAGACATTGTATTTAGAAACTAAACAGAAGTTAATTTAGGAAGTTCATCCAATATAAATGGCTATAAGTTCACCTCACCTTACGACCAAGAGCTCCTCGTCTGCCTTTGGGTCCGACTGTGCCCGGGGTTCCTCCAGGTCCCTGTCAAAACAACAACATATTAAGATTGACATTAAGATTAAGATGAAGAGATCCTTTGTTGGTCCCACAGCGGGGAAATGCCAATGTTGCATCATCAATTACACAACAGAAGAAATGAGGAGCACACAGATTTTTTATGAAAATCCAAACTCTATCTTTAGCATAATTTAGAGAACTTTAGAACATAGATAACTTTAGCATAAAATAAATCCTTTGTTCCTTCGGGTGTCAGGCTGTACAACAGACCTGTATGAGTTAAAAATATGCACTATTCTTAGGTAATTAGTTAGAAATGTTTATAATTTATGTAATTATGTGTTTATATGGATATGTTTCTGCTGCGGGAACTGAATTTCTCCTACGGGGATCAATAAAAAATCTTTCTATCTATAAAAATAAACCAAGTCTAAAATCTCCAACTTAAGCATAATGAAGTACAAAATCTCTGACATTAGCATAATTAGGCATAAATAATCTGTATGTTATACATTCTGTATATTGTAGTGCAAGAAATAGATAGTAGCAGCAGAGGGTAAAGTGACAGGTTTCATATTCATATTCTGACATTCGTTCACGTTCAGGTCAACTGTTTGTCCTCATTGTTCATTGTTGTCCTTGTACTAATTTTTTTTAGATAAAAGTCAAAATAATATTGCTTTTGTGTGCTCCCTGTGTCTCTTGCTACTGTCCTGTATGTGCGCTGCAACATTGACATTTCCCCACTGTGGAACGAATAAATGTTCTTGGCTTCCTGTCAGCCAAAGTATTGGATACTTTCCCTGTTGTCATTCCACCAAGCTCTAATAATGTTACATTTTGTGGTAAAAAATACAAATAAGCTATTTGTACTTGCATGTATTTAATACATTCTTGTGCAGGATTACAAATATGTCCAAGATTGAAGATTTGAGTTTAGGCTTTTGGGGCACATTCTGCTCCATCCTCTCTATATATACTTGATGTGACGTCAGGCATAAAACTAATGAAAGAACATTTAAAACACAGATTGATTTCGTGCTTGTTAAAAAAATGGGAAAATTTTTTTTTTTTCTTTTTTCTCAAGTTTAACATTTGACAGGTTTCCAGTTAGATGTTGCCTTAAAACTGTAAATCTATTCCTTTAGTACATTTAGCTCAGAGCTCCATATGTGAGTCGACTGTCGGCCTACAGCTGGGGAAAGGGCTTTTTGCCATCGAATGCAAAACTGGGCATGAAACCAATCTATAAGAAGCATGTTTCCCATGACATTTGTTCAATTAAACAAGAGAATTCATAGTATTTCACAACCGCCTTCATTCATAAGCTTCGTTGACAGAGGACTCACTCTGGGGCCAGGGTTTCCTTCCTCTCCTTTTGGTCCTGGTGGTCCTGGTGGTCCGGATGTACCCTTTAAAACATCACAAAGTCAGCAGCAGAAGTCTGATCCAGTCAAAACAATGTGTCATAGCTTTTACACGGCCAAGAACAAACTCTCACTGCGAACAGTGTGACATACGCTTTTGGCAAATGGATATTCAGAGTGAATTATCAGCAAATACTTTGTTAATAGTGTTTGGAAACTCACTCTAGATCCTGCGATACCGGGCTCTCCCGCCTCTCCCACAGCACCACCCTGTCCAGCAGCTCCCTAGAAAACAACATAGATTCTGTCAAATTTTACATGGCTTTTTATGCCTGTTTCTGTTTTAGTGGATTGGATTGGACTGGATTCAATGCCTCAAGTGTCAAAAGTGACTCAACCCTAATAGTAGTAGTAGTAGAAGAAGAGGTAGAAGTAGTAGTCAAGGTAGAAGTAGAAGTGTAGGTAGTAGTAGTAGTAGTAGAAGTAGAAATTATTTATTTTCATTCATTCTAGTTCATTGTTTTGTTTTTTTTCAATAAATGTCTTGTTATGCTGTATGTATTATGGGTAAAAAATGTGAACTGATGATGACACAATAAAGTAATAAAAAAAAGGCTAAAGCAAGAAGCTTATATGTTCGTTCTCCATTTTCCATTTAAGTGACAAACAAGATTAAGATTTTGACATGAGATTTGTGATTTTCATCATCATCGACTTATTGATGTGAACCCTATGCAGTGAATCAGTTCTAGGACATGAAGTATAGCATGTTCTGGAATATAAGCTGAACCATCTCAAATGTTAAAATAAATCAATGTTTGTCAACATATAGGCCGTCCTGGAATATAAGCCACAGTCTACATCATGTTGTAATATAGCATAGAGAGACAACTGCTTTAACTGGTCACTGCATGATTTAATGACGATGTGTTTAACAACTTCACCGTTAGCTTCCATGACTCATTCACTGTTAGCTTCAATGACGTATTCACTGTTAGCTTCAATGACGTATTCACTGTTAGCTTCAATGAAGTATTCACTGTTAGCTTCAATGAAGTATTCACTGTTAGCTTCAATGAAGTATTCACTGTTAGCTTCAATGAAGTATTCACTGTTAGCTTCAATGAAGTATTCACTGTTAGCTTCAATGAAGTATTCACTGTTAGCTTCAATGAAGTATTCACTGTTAGCTTCAATGAAGTATTCACTGTTAGCTTCCATGAAAGTAACAAGTCTCCTATAGCTACTAAAACTAGAGTCAAAAAGTCCATAAACTCTGCTCTGACAACTCCACCGCAGTAAAAATAACACTGATTAGCTGCTTTGCTATATAAGCCGCAGGGATCAAAGAGCTAGAAAAAGTAGCAGAAATGACGGCCTCCGACTTACAGGTTGTCCGGGTTGTCCTCTTCTTCCGTTGGATCCCTTTACATTGAACACAAACTTCTGATTAGCATAGCGTAGAGACAAACACAAATATATTAAAATATTCCTGAAATCTTTACTCTTCTGCCTGGATCGCCGGCTGGACCAGGTCTCCCAGAATTGCCTGGCTCTCCCTGGAAATGCGGGAGAGAAAATGTGAGGAACAAAGTAGAAGCAAATACAGATTTTAGTTTATTCAAACACGGTAGAATATAAAAACTACCGGTAGACCAGAGTCGCCAGGTTCTCCTTTAGGTCCGGGCCGCGTGTTGTCTCGTCCACTTTGACCCTATCGGACAAAAACATATTATGAAACAGCAAAGCATGACTCCTCATTATCATATGATTGTTACAGCAGAATGAGAGTCTGATGGATAGAAGCGGAAAAAAACATGAAAAATCACAGAGAAATTCTATGATACATAAAGAATCAAACCCCATGCGTCGAGCCCTGGTCTCGATTTCTTACATTTTGTCTGGTTGTCTGTATTTTAATTACATTGTTCTATTTTTTTATGGAATTTATGTGTGCAAAAGGTGTATTTTTTAAAATCTATTTTAGTTGTTTATTTCATACAAAAGTCAATTTAAAAACAGTTCTTTTTAGATGTGCAGACAACTGAAGTCAGTCTTGTACTGTGATTATGTACAGTATGATTCTAATTCCTTGTGTGATTGTTTCTATGTTGTTTAGTTCTGCACTTTGAGTTTCCTTGTGTCTGAACTGTGGTGAAAAAATGAACTTGCCTGGCATTTGTGTATATTACATAATCAATGGCTCGTACTAGTCAGTTTTGTTGTTATTTTGTATTCACATGTTCTATGTTTTACTGCTTTTCAAACTGACAAAACCTACCTTCCATGGTGAGACAAACAAGTCATTTAAACTTTAATCTTGAAGTTTAGTTGGTTTGAATCTGATTTGGGTCCTGGTCCAAATTGAATGTGTTGAATATAAAAAACTGCTTGTATATCTGAAGGAGCAATATATACAAATCTGGCTAAAAGTGGTATTGCACTCTCACTGACTCAGGTTGCCAGATATGCAGACAAATCCAGCTAGGACCATAATATCTGAACAGACAAGAGTTTTGCCAACAACAAATCTATAACCAACACCTTTTTCACAAAGACAGAATTAATGATTTGAGACACCTAACAAGACCTGTTTTTAATTCTGTGGCCATAGTTTTGTAAGATTAGCTCGACCCAGGGAGTTCTGGCGCAGACTTTCTGATTGGTAAAACGCTGGAGGGCGAGACATTGAAATGAAAACAATAACAAGATTGAGGCGCTGTAAAGCTAATTTTGAAATTTGAATATCCCTGAACCAGTCAAATAAGTATTCAAAAAGACTATGGTTTATTATTATGACAGATTAAGGCCATTTAATGATGACTCGACATGAAAATCTTACATATTGCAACTAAATTGGTACAATAACTGTCAGCATTGTCCATTCCTATACAGTCTATGATTTGTTCTTGATCTGGGCTTAGACTACTGCCGCAACGACCCGGCGAGGAATAAGTGGAAGAAAATGGAAAGATGGATGGATTTGATGTGTTTTAGTGCGTAATTTCAGAGTAGATAATCAAAGAATAATAGAATTTTACAGAATATACTCACAGGGTCTCCTCTGATTCCCATATCTCCTCTATCTCCTAGTTGACCCTTTGCTCCTTTGGGTCCCTGATAGAAAATGATAGTGTAATGATTGAGTGTCATCAGCACATAAGAACATTTTAGTAAGGTCACAGTAAATCTGATTCAAGCTCACCCTTCTGCCAGGAGTTCCTCTACTCCCAGCTAATCCAGGTTTTCCACTTACACCCTAGTATTATAAAAATGACAGCGTTAAAGTTATAACAGGTTTGTATCATTGCAGCCTAATGCAGCGGCATAACTCACATCTTCTCCATTGATACCGTCGAGACCTAGCTCTCCATTTTCACCCTGAAAATGGCAGAAGTAGCGCGTTTACAAAACATAATAGACCTCACATTTACAATAATTAACAAGATTTTCTGATACCTTTTCTCCTGAATATCCACGTGCCCCCTAAAAGCAAAAATACGTGGTCAGTATTTCTCATACACAAGTTTTATCTAGAGATATTGTAAATGTTCGACCTTTGTGCCCCTGGGTCCGGGACAACCCTGGAAACCCTGTGTACCGTTCACACCAGGAGGACCTCTCTCTCCCTGGAAAAAAGTGATGAAATGGTCAATTAAATGGTAAAAGTGGGTGGTAGACAAATTATTGTGATAGAAATTTCTGGTTGACTATTGGTGTCTTGAGTAGAAATGTGTAACTCACAGGGCCACCCTCGTCTCCAGGGTGTCCTAGGCCTCCTTGAAGACCTGGATCTCCCTAAAAAAAAAAAAAAAAGAGCATTAGCAACAACATTAAAAACTACGGTAACGATACAGACACAGAATAGCGACTTCAATACCAAATGTATAGGTTTTTGTGTTTACAGCTCTCATTATTGTAAGGATAAGATTTTGTGATTTGGTAAAATTCTAGTCAATTCCGATTTAAATTTAGAGTGTTATGGTGACGCATCGGTTAGTGCTTGTTCTTCATAGCGAGAAGGTCCTATCTTGTCTGGAGTTTGCATGTTCTCCCTGTATCTGTATGTTTTTTCTGGTTGCTCTGGTTTCCCCTATACCACTAAACACACGTACAATAGTTCAGGTTGAAAGAGTGGGTGTTTATGAGTCCAATTTTTTATTTTTTATTCCCCTCTGTGTTAATTTTTTATAGTTTAAATAATAGTATAATAAGAACAATCATACAGGTGTCTATTACTTGTAATTATTGGCTGCATTTAAGATAAGACAAACCTTTCTTTGTCCCTCAGTGGGGATATTTCAGACTGAATTTAAGATTCAGTTTATAGTGATTGTCATAAGGGAGTAAGGAAATTAAGTTTAGAGCATCAACACTGCACCCAATACACAAAGCACCAGATCCTCAGGAAGATGGTTCCTTCAACAGCTCCTTCAACAGCCCTGGTCTTTCAGCAAAGGCTTCAGGGGGCTTTAAGTGTCTTGCCAATGCTCTACCAACTACCAACATGGTTTGATACCTTTGGTCCATTAAATCCAACTGCTCCTCTGTCTCCTCTGGTCCCTGTGCATTTACACGCGACACCGCAGCACTCTCTATCGGCGATGCTGTCCTGAAGGAGAAAAAGAAGCACAAAAAGAAACATGTAATTATTTATCAAAGAATCCAATATGCTCTTAAAACGTACAAGTTCATCAAGCAGCTCGTAGTCCAAGTCCATAATGTTGACGCGCAGTTGTCGGGTGTATCTGTAACCTCGTCCAAACTCCAGCCGTGCAGCCTGCTCAAAATTATTCACTCGCTCCATTCCCACCAGGATGAAGCTGCTGACTCCTGGCGAAAGAGTAGTTGATATGAATATGGAATGACATGTTAAATGTCTTTTTCCAAATGTACCTGACTTCTGCAACTCATAGACTGCTCTATTCATTTCATTGTAAGGAGCGTCCAAGCCGTCCGTCAGATGGATGATCACCTGCAAAGACCCAAATACTCCGTCATGTCAGAGTCATGTGTTTATAACTTGTGTGAGTGTCATCTGTGTTCATTGATAATTATAATACAAAATGTTGTTCTTTGTGTCCAATTCTATCATACAAAATTGAATTCCTGAACCCAATACAAACAAAAGGGAATGTAATTGTGCTTTATAGACTAAGACTAAATCCAGAGAATAGTTCTGTTTAGCTGTGCACATATTCTGTAAATTAATGTCCTATAATTATTTATGATTATATTTTGTTCCCTTGTTTTTGTAAAGCATGTTGATTTGTCTTGTGTGTGATTTGTGCTATACAAAGAAACATCCCTTGCCTCCTTACAATTGGTTACTATTGGCCTACGGGACATTATAGATGCTTTTCTTTTAACCAATGTAAACAACTTAGAGGTGGGAAGATTTAGAATATAATTTTCCATGTATGTGTTCAACTTGGGGATTTTACAAAATATGCATATAAGACTGCAAAAGAATGATAACATATTTGATAATACATGCTTGAATCGAGTGGTTTTAACTTCACTTCACTGTGTTAAAGCAGGATTTGCCAACGGGATAAGGCGTTTTTCTCGTGCTTGATTTTCTCATTCCAAGGGAGACATTTCTTGCAACTTTTCAAAACGAGATCATTTTGCTTGTCCCTTTAGCAAATATTTTCTTAAGGCAGTCAAATGTACTCAAATAAAGATACGTTTTGCTCAATTTTAGCCCTTTTTGACTTATTTTTCATCACTTTTTGCAGTATATGCATTTAAGACATTGGGTATTGTATTTGTCAACATAATAAAATAATGAACAATTGTAGGCTAGTTTTGAAGGTATACAGGAAGATTTTCCAGGTGGAGTATCAAGACTGTTGATCCTCCCAATTGTCAATCATTCTGGTGATACGTGCTCGTCACATAAGACCAGAGAGTTTGGTTGAGAGGGCGGTTCTTTACTGTAATTTGGGAAAATCCTCCTATATATCTGTAAAAATGTCAACAAAATTGTACATTGATCGAGTTTGTATTCAAATTCTTACCTTTACTACATTGTCCTGCCTGTTTTTGAACCTGGAGTTATAGGCCTCTATAGTCTGTCTGTTGAGAACAAAGGGCCCACGTGTACCGAGTCTTCTGAAACTCTCAAACAGCTCTTGTGAGTCATCAGTGAAATCCAGCTGCACTGCATCAGCAAATGAGCCCATGGCCAGTATCCCGATCTGAATAGAAGGAGCCCGTCCCGCAGAACAAGTAATCGGCCTCATCTTGGAAATCCTCTGTAAAATGGCCCCCAGCTTGCTCTGAAGGTTGGTCTGTGCCGTAAAGATATTCTGGGCATTCACATCAAAACCGACCAGGACTTCCATGTTGCAAGCTGAAGAGAAATAGTGTACAAAATCACGAAATGGCTAAGAATGAAAAACAATTGTATCGAACCTATGTCCATTCATATTACATATTCTAATCTATGACAAAAAATATGTCATTGTATGGTCTAATGTAAGGGTCTTCTTGTCACGTGGGATGCCAAAAAATATTCCAAATACTACAATATTGTAGAGTAAACTCACATCAAACTATTATTTAAATGTGACAGGTAAAAATACAAACATTTCTTTCATAGAGTTGTTTGTTATTTTAGTACCAAGGGATGTTCCCACTAATTCGTCTAGACTATTGGTGTCAAACTGGTTCCAGAAAGGGCTGGTGTGGCTGTGTTTGCAATCAAGCAGGAGCACACCAAAATCCACCCATTCCCTTTAGTCGTCAGGTAAAGACTAGTCTCACTTGAGGAAAAGGGTGGGGTGTCTGTGGGCTCCTGCTTGGTTGGAAAAAAAAAACAAGTAGCCACATCCGACCCTTTGAAGACTGGTTTAACACCCCTGGTCTAGACCTAGACAGAGGACTCGGTCCACTTCAGTCCTAAAGGACCATCTAGATCAGGTGTCTCCAACCTTTTTCACCCGGAGAGCTACTTCCCCGGAACGATAAAGGCAGAGAGCTACTCTTTTAAGCAGCCCTGGGGAAAATGTGTTGATATATTTGTGTGAACGCGCCTGATATTGGGTACAGTCATGATTCATCATTGTATACTTATTACTAGTGCACAACGTAAATGCATTTACAATAATAAATACTGATAATGAATAATAAGAATCCTTTGGCGAGCTACCTGGAAGGGGGTGGCGAGCTACAGGTTGGAGACCCCTGATCTAGATGATGCCAGTATTTACAGGCACTTTGGGTACGCAATATATAACAACACTTACGTTTGGCCTCAGTGTCAGGCGGAGTGCACACACCCTTTCCCTTCACTTCATCGTCCAGAGCTTCCAGGATCTGCTCGTTCAGCTCGGACAGCTCCAGGTACGTGCCTGCTCTGGCCACGGTTGACCCCTCACTGGCTATATTTGCCAACTCTGACTCCAAAATGTCTCCAATTCCGATTGCAAAGATTCTAGCCCCTGTTGTCTTCAATCCCAGGGCTGCTGATTTGCTATCATCAGCTGATCTTCCACCAGTGATAAGCATGAGGATTTGTGGGGTGCCTTCGTTTTTCCTGCTTCCTTTCTCTCTGATAAAATGCCGATCTTGGACATATTTTATAGCAGCGCCAGTGTTGATCCTTCGTCCTCCTTTGTACTCAGCACGGCCAATGGCACTAATAATATCGTCCTTGTTTGTGTATGAATTTAGGAAAAAAACGTCGGTGACGTCGGTGGTGTAATGCGCAAGGCCAAACCTAAGCTCATCTTTTTCATTGTAGAACAGGTCGATTAGATTGATCACAAAGTTCATAACCTCTACAAAGTTTTCCCTTCCCAGGTTCATGGAGCCATCTACCAAAAATACTATGTCTGCCTTTTTCACATCAGGTCCACCTGAATAGAACAAAACATACATGATTAACAAAACTGCTTATCACAATGTACTCATAATTTACTGTACATACTTCTGAGAAATATTTCAATTTTTTATTATGCTTCACCATAGCTGTGGCGAGGTTTACCCACAATATTTTGTGATAAAACACATAGCATGTATTTGATTTATAGATAAGCAATAAATCTCCCATGGATTTAGATGACTGAAATGAGATATGTAGGTTTTAGAAGAAACAAATATAAAACCATTTTGATTTGGCTCATCAAAAGCTTTCTTGTACTGTGTTTTGAGCTTTTTCAACCTTTATTATAATTCTACCATTTCATTGTAATTGTCTTCTATTGACACATCCCAACCAACCAGTTTAATCAGTGCTTTCACATGCAGTCATAGAAATTCGAATTTTTGCATTCATTCATGTCTTTCAATAGGCAGCCATTCGAATTTCTCTCAATCGCACTAGTTCTGCGATTACTGGTTGTGTTTTGCTGCATGTTTATACAATTGCTGATACAGTAGACAGACATTTAGCAGCACAAGCAAGACAACGTGTAATATAAGATTAGTTTTGCTCACTCTGGCATGAGAACTTTTGGTGTAAAGGCTTTTTGGGGGTCGTTCACCTTTTTTTGCGTTGCATGTAAACACACTGATGGGAATCTAGTACCTTCAAAGTCAGTGGGGATTTCTTCGATTTTTCCCCTCAGTCTGGTTATCAGCCGCTCTCTGAGTGATGGCAGGGATGGAAATGTTGGGACTTGAAGGACATCGTCTGGGTTGGTGGCAATTTGAGCTAGCTGCCTTGAGTCTGCACCAGAAGCTCCAACACCAACACAGTTCACCCTTGAGCTCTTGAGCAATGGTCCAAAAATAGCCACATCTTGAGGAGATCGTCCACCGGTGAGAACCACAAGGTGTTGGGAAGCCTCAATGGGGCGAACTCCAGCTGAAGGTTTAAGCTCATTTTGTATGACATAGTTGAGGGCATCAGCAAGGTCTGAGGAGCGTCCACCCATCTGCCTCAGCCTCTTCACAGCAGACAGGACAGCTGCCTTGTTGTTGTGAGAATTCAGCGAGAATTCTGTTTTGACCCTGTCAGAATACTGGACTATTCCTACACGCACTTGGTCAGGCTGCACATCCAGCTGCTGTACAGTGTTGAGGATAAAGTCGCGAATGTGAGCAATACCTTCGTTTCCAGTATTGTCTGACCCATCAATAAGAAAGATTACATCCTTTCTTCCAAGATTGACAGTTTCTGCAATATGATCAGAATAAACATGTATAATTAGGAATACTTTCGAATGCACACGTCATCTTCCATTTCTTATCCATTTAGGAGCGGGAGCCATAGAAGAGTCTTCCCTCATACGTGCTCGGTCTCTATAGAGGCGAGGGGGCAGTTTCTCAGTCTAAAGTGACGTTTGTGAAGACTTGTTGCTGTGACCATAAGTGTGAGTAGGAATGTAGATTGATCAGTAAAAAAAAAACTTTATTGTTTTTGCTTTTCTTCACCGCAAAAAAACTGGCACACCAACTACATTGTGTGCAGGTGCTGGACCAATCTCAATTTCAATCTTCCTCTACTTCTTACACTCACTTATGCACAAATCTCAAACATTCCAGCACTTATTTAAGGTAATGAAGCAGACAGGACGGTAATAAGACAACAATAAAATGCTGATGCTTCAATCATCAGTATTTTATCTCTAGCAGTCCATGCACATGAAGTTTGAGCAAACTTGAAGCAAAAATAATTGATTGTTAATCATTAGATCAAACATAATTGTGTTGTTATTAAACAAAAGTAGAAAACAATAAAAGAATTTCAGTTATAGAAAAGAAAAAATCTCTTACCTGTGGTGACAGGAGGTTGAGGAGCAGGAATATAAACAGTGGCAATTTCATCAGCGGATGTAGTTTTGACTGAATCTAACAGCTGATTCTCAATTGTTGGAAGTTGATTGAAAGAATCAACTTTATGGGCAAATTCTGGCTTTAGAGAAATTTGCCTCAACTCTTCAGCGTCAGCATTTCTGGAGCCAACAGCAAGAGGTGCAATCTTATTCCTCTTCAGTTGATTTGCCGCAGAGGACACATCGTCAGACGACTTGCCACCAGTGACCAAAATGAGAAACTGTGGCACACCATCCTCAATGCGGCTTCCAGCTGATCGCTGGTAGATACTTCTTCCTACAAACTCAAGAGCCCGACCGGTGTTCAGGGAGGTCCCACCTTTACTTCTCAGCCTCTGCACAGCATTTCGAACCTCTTGTTGAGATGAGTGTTCATTCAGGTAAAATTCCACCTTAGGGTCTTCGCTGTATTGTACTACAGAAATCCTTACAGCATCTAGTCCCACATCTAGCTTGTCAACAACTCTTCGGATCATCTCTCGAATGGCTGGGAATTCACTGCGCACTGCTGTTGTTCCATCAATGAGGAAAACAACATCTCTTTTGACATCTTCTGATGGGGGGGACGGGACAACTGCAGAAGACAAAAATGCAAAGCATATAAGGCAAAGACCCTAAAAAATATTTTACAGAACTAATTTGTAAATCATTAGAATAATAACTCAAATTATAAAATAAGCATCTAGTTTTGTCATCCTAGTGATAATCTGGACTTTATCAGAAAAAAGAAAAAGAGGTACATGATTTGAAAAAGAACGGCCTAAACTCGCTCCCTGTTCCTTTCTGATTGGTCTTGAAGCCGCGCCTACTTTTAAGTGCACGCGCCAGGTCAATGGACCAAGACGAAAAAGGAGAGATTATTCATTTTAATATTCGAATATATTGGAATTTTTTATCTTGATTTCTTATTCAGTTCCTTACAGCAGCAGTAGAACGCTCCATTCTTTTGAATGTAATTTCAAAACGTTCTACCGATCATTATTTCTTGATAACGAACCTCTCAAACCAATAATGACCGCTGCCCTTTGGCAATGCACTCTGTGCTTGTAATTCAGATGTGTAAAACATAGATTACTCTGACAGTAGTTCGCACACTTTGTCACAACGAGAAGCTATCGAAGCTAGCCACTATGGAGGACCAAAAATGACTAAAGTATAAATAAATAAATAAATACAGGAATATATTAATAAATACATTCATTTTGGACAATAAAAACTAAATATTTACATTGATATGTAAAATATTACTCTGAAATCAAATAAATATACTTTTATTTAGGTTATTTATCAATATCTAAATTTTTTCCTTTATTTATTTATCCATTTATTGCATATATTTATTTATGTATTTCTACATTTCTTCATTTATTTATTTATGTATTTCTACATTTCTTCATTTATTTATTTATGTATTTCTACATTTCTTCATTTATTTATTTATTTATGTATTTCTACATTTCTTCATTTTTTTATTTATGTATTTCTACATTTCTTCATTTATTTATTTATGTATTTCTGTGTCGCTACATTTCTTCATTTATTTATTTGTGTATTTCTACATTTCTTCATTTATTTATGTATTTTTGTGTTCCTGTATGCTAATTAGGTGGGCGGTGCTGAACTCAATCTAGAACAGGATTGGTTAGGATTGCGTGAATGTATTGCATGTGAATTGCATGTTCAATCATACATGGAGGTAAAAAATAGGATTTACGGCCAAAGTTAGCCTTCTCGGTTTGTGAGAGGATGTGAAGCTGCTGTATAGCTTGTTGAAGAGCGTCCAGCACAGTTGCATCAAAGTCTACCTCTGGGTCAGCACTGTGATGAACTAAAACATCTAATAGTCTTTCCAGCCGAAAGAGTATATAGTCCTCAGGTGCATTATGCTCAACATCATTAACATCATTTGCTAATGCTCTTAATTGAATTGCCATCCTACCACACAAAAGTGCACAGAGGATCTCTAGCTAGCTAACAGAGTACCGTAATGTGAGGCAGTAATGATCGAGACCAGAGTTCACACAATCCTAACCAATCCTGTTCTAGATTGAGTTCAGCACCGCCCACCTAATTAGCATACAAGAACACAAAAATACATAAATAAATAAATGAAGAAATGTAGAAATACACAAATAAATAAATGAAGAAATGTAGAAATACACAAATAAATAAATGAAGAAATGTAGCGACACAGAAATACATAAATAAATAAATGAAGAAATGTAGAAATACATGAATAAATAAATGAAGAAATGTAGAAATACACAAATAAATAAATGAAGAAATGTAGTGACACAGAAATACATAAATAAATAAATGAAGAAATGTAGAAATACATAAATAAATATATGCAATAAATGGATAAATAAATAAAGGAAAAAATGTAGATATTGATAAATAACCTAAATAAAAGTATATTTATTTGATTTCAGAGTAATATTTAACATATCAATGTAAATATTTAGTTTTTATTGTCCAAAATGAATGTATTTATTTATATATTCCTGTATTTATTTATTTATTTATACTTTAGTCATTTTTGGTCCTCCATAAGCCACGCTCAAGAACACAAATAACAATCAATCAACACACTTAAATGTTAATCGGAGAATACATTATATATACGCATGCATGGAGCTTTTTTAGAATGATCCGTTTAAATTCGTGAAAAAAACACTGTTTTAATGCGACAAAAAGTGATCGCTGTAAACCCTGAAGTAACTATTAACATTAATAGAACATTTTAGGACACATTTGCAGAGGATTTGATTATAGGTTGAGTTAATATTTGGGTCACTCACCGCTGATGTTCAGAATTCTTTGTTCAGTTTTCATGTTGTTTCAGGGAGTTCTAGTTTTGAAGTAACCTACTGGCTAGACTAGTTTTTACCAGTCTAGCCACGTCACGGCAAAACGTTTGGGAACTAACTAATTATTTTATACATATAATTTCAAAAAGATAATGCCCATTACAGCTTTGAATATTAAGGGATGTCTAAAATGTGTTCAAATTTATACATACATTTTTTTTTGTCAATATTCGATAGTCGATGTATGTATATATGATATTCAAATTATATTTGAATATCAAAATTCGAACTCAAAGCCCTAATCGGAAGTAGGAGGGACACATGAAATGGGTATCTTCTGCTCTTTGAGCTGAGTGTTTATCAAGGTGAAACAAACAACAGAGCATGCGCACTTACGAGCAGCGCTCGTGGTGATTGACAGCTCTTGGAATCACTTAATTGGTCCAGGTGAACAGCACCGGGGATTTTGAGCTGTGATAGTCTGGAATTCATTTAGAATTCTAGACTTTCACTTTAATCCACAATCTCAGACTCCCTAAAGAGTAATCTACAGTTTACATATTTCATACCGTCATAATCAGGGAATACTGGGGACATCCTTGCAAAATCTTCATCTGACGTCTCTGTCAAAGTGTTGATAAGATTTTCTTGGACCGTATACAAGCCAGGAAGATCATCCACAGTGTATGCAAAATTGGGTACGTAGGACACAATCCGAAGCTCAGTTGGATTTACATCTCTTGTTCCAATGCTGAAAGGAAAAACTCTAGAATTTTTGAGAGTTATTGCTGCCTGCTGGATGTTATCTGTAGAAGGACCTCCGGACACAACAATGACAAACTGAGGGACACGTTCCTGCCGCCTACTTCCTCGGGAGGGTATCATAACGTCGCTATTGAGGAACTCCAAAGCTTGTCCAAGGTTACGTTGTCTTCCTCCACGTCTCTGTAAACCAGCTATTGCACTGAGAACACCCTCTTTGGTGGGATGAGAGTTTAGATACATGTCAGGTTGAGGATTGTCGCCATACTGAACCACACCAATACGAATTTTGTTCTCGCCCACGTTGAGTGTCTCGACAACCCTTTTCATGAACTCCTGGAGGATTGGAAATTCCCGGCCGACACCATCAGACCCGTCAACAAGGAAAACAATGTCCTTCTTGGGACCTTGTGAATCCACTAGAAAGAAAAGGTTAGGTCCATTAAGTAAGGCAAAACAATAACAATCGACTGTTGTTAGTGTGTGAGAGTAGGTAAGTCAGTAAGAGTAGCTAGAAAAAGAGGAAAAGAGAAGGAAAAAAGTGGGTCATTATTGTGTACAAATACTAAATTTCCCAACATATTTAATGAACTTCAACAAAAAGTAAATATTTCATTTTGTTGAGTTAGTGTCCAGGTAATACCAAACAGCAGGATCAGCAGAATCCTTGCGGGTTAAGTATTACTATTATTTAAGTCAGAGTTTGTAAACATACCGGGTGAAGTTGGTGATTCTGGGGCTGCCTCAACAATCACTGTCTCAAGAGAAGACTGAAGTTGTTGCTGGACATTGGGGAGGTCATTGAAATCAGACACAGAAAGAGCAGCACTGGGTTCATGAGAGATCTTTTGCAATTCTCTCGAGTCGGTGTTTCTAGTTCCAATTGCAAATGTCAAGACACCCATTTGTTTGAGGGCAGAGGCCGGTGCATCAACACTGTCAAAAGACCTGCCACCGCTTAACAATATCAACAGTTGTGGCACTCCTTCTTGGCGCCTGCTTCCAGCAGAGGGCGTAAAGACGTTATCCCTCAAGTACTGGAGTGCAACACCTGTGTTGAGGGGTCTTCCACCTTTATGCCTCAATCCTCTGATTGTGTCAAGGACTTCTCTTTTTGTTGAGTAGGTGTTCAGGTAGAACTGGACAACAGGATCTCTGCTGTACTGAACCACTGACACACGATCTCTGTTTTCATTCAGTCTCTCTACCATTCTCTGGACAAAGTTTTGCATGGCTGCGAATTCATTCCTTGTACCATCAGAGCCATCCAACAAGAAAAACAACATCCTTTCCTGATTGTTGTCTCACCACTAGGGAACACAACAGGTAGCTTGTCACATATTTACTGTGGAAAATGTGCACACCAAGATTGAACAGACTAGTACAATTCATGCAGCTGCCTTATTCTCACTAATACACACAATAAAGCTAAAATGGTCTGATGGATTTGCACTACATAGATGCACAACTGTGTGACGTTCTTACCAGTTACATTTGGTGTGGTAGGCATGACCTGTACTACCGCTGTGCCCATTGCAGAAGAGATCTGCTCTTGGGCATTGGGGAGGTCAGCGAAATCAGACACAGACACAGCATAACTGGAGTTGAATGCAATGTTTTTCATCTCTGCCCCGGCAGCCCTTCCAGCTCCGATACCAAGCACAACAATGCCCCTGTTTCTAAGAGCAGCGGCTGGTGTATCAGCATTGTCAGATGACTTTCCACCATTCAGAAGGATCAACAGCTGTGGAACGCCTTGCTGGCCCCTACTGCCGCCAGAAGTTGTGAAGACATTGTCATTGACGTATTGGAGGGCTGCCCCAGTGTTGATAGGTCTCCCTCCTCTATGTCTCAGCTCTCTGACTGCATCCAAAACATAATTTATGGTGTCATATGTGTTAAGATAGAAACCGACGTCTGGATCTCTGTTGTACTGGACCACAGAGACCCGGTTAGTGTTTTCTCCTATATTCAGAGTTTGCACCACTCTCTCCACAAAGTCACGCATGGCCGGGAAGCCATTTCTCGTTGCGTCAGAATCATCCAGAAGGAAAACTAGATCTTTGGTGGCACTTTCCACTAGGAGAACAGAACATTAAGACAATTAAAACAAGTGTGACTCGTATTATAACGCGACACGTTTGGTTGATAATTTGGAGGCTACTACTCAAACAGACTTTCATTGTTGACTATATCTGGAAAAAGTTATTATTTTTGTCAGAGTTTGTAAACATACCGGGTGAAGTTGGTGATTCTGGGGCTGCCTCAACAATCACTGTCTCAAGAGAAGACTGAAGTTGTTGCTGGACATTGGGGAGGTCATTGAAATCAGACACAGAAAGAGCAGCACTGGGTTCATGAGAGATCTTTTGCAATTCTCTCGAGTCGGTGTTTCTAGTTCCAATTGCAAATGTCAAGACACCCATTTGTTTGAGGGCAGAGGCCGGTGCATCAACACTGTCAAAAGACCTGCCACCGCTTAACAATATCAACAGTTGTGGCACTCCTTCTTGGCGCCTGCTTCCAGCAGAGGGCGTAAAGACGTTATCCCTCAAGTACTGGAGTGCAACACCTGTGTTGAGGGGTCTTCCACCTTTATGCCTCAATCCTCTGATTGTGTCAAGGACTTCTCTTTTTGTTGAGTAGGTGTTCAGGTAGAACTGGACAACAGGATCTCTGCTGTACTGAACCACTGACACACGATCTCTGTTTTCATTCAGTCTCTCTACCATTCTCTGGACAAAGTTTTGCATGGCTGCGAATTCATTCCTTGTACCATCAGAGCCATCCAACAAGAAAACAACATCCTTTCCTGATTGTTGTCTCACCACTAGGGAACACAAAAGGTAGCTTGTCACATATTTACTGTGGAAAATGTGTACACCAAGATTGAACAGACTAGTACAATTCATGCAGCGGCCTTATTCTCACTAATACACACAATAAAGCTAAAATGGTCTGATGGATTTGCACTACATAGATGCACAACTGTGTGACGTTCTTACCAGTTACATTTGGTGTGGTAGGCATGACCTGTACTACCGCTGTGCCCATTGCAGAAGAGATCTGCTCTTGGGCATTGGGGAGGTCAGCGAAATCAGACACAGACACAGCATAACTGGAGTTGAATGCAATGTTTTTCATCTCTGCCCCGGCAGCCCTTCCAGCTCCGATACCAAGCACAACAATGCCCCTGTTTCTAAGAGCAGCGGCTGGTGTATCGGCATTGTCAGATGACTTTCCACCATTCAGAAGGATCAACAGCTGTGGAACGCCTTGCTGGCCCCTACTGCCGGCAGAAGTTGTGAAGACATTGTCATTGACGTATTGGAGGGCTGCCCCAGTGTTGAGAGGTCTCCCTCCTCTATGTCTCAGCTCTCTGACTGCATCCAAAACATCATTTCTGGTGTCATATGTGTTAAGATAGAAACCGACGTCTGGATCTCTGTTGTACTGGACCACAGAGACCCGGTTAGTGTTTTCTCCTATATTCAGAGTTTGCACCACTCTCTCCACAAAGTCACGCATGGCCGGGAAGCCATTTCTCGTTGCGTCAGAATCATCCAGAAGGAAAACTAGATCTTTGGTGGCACTTTCCACTAGGAGAACAGAACATTAAGACAATTAAAACAAGTGTGACTCGTTTTATAACGCGACACGTTTGGTTGATAATTTGGAGGCTACTACTCAAACAGACTTTCATTGTTGACTATATCTGGAAAAAGTTATTATTTTTGTCAGAGTTTGTAAACATACCGGGTGAAGTTGGTGATTCTGGGGCTGCCTCAACAATCACTGTCTCAAGAGAAGACTGAAGTTGTTGCTGGACATTGGGGAGGTCATTGAAATCAGACACAGAAAGAGCAGCACTGGGTTCATGAGAGATCTTTTGCAATTCTCTCGAGTCGGTGTTTCTAGTTCCAATTGCAAATGTCAAGACACCCATTTGTTTGAGGGCAGAGGCCGGTGCATCAACACTGTCAAAAGACCTGCCACCGCTTAACAATATCAACAGTTGTGGCACTCCTTCTTGGTGCCTGCTTCCAGCAGAGGGCGTAAAGACGTTATCCCTCAAGTACTGGAGTGCAACACCTGTGTTGAGGGGTCTTCCACCTTTATGCCTCAATCCTCTGATTGTGTCAAGGACTTCTCTTTTTGTTGAGTAGGTGTTCAGGTAGAACTGGACAACAGGATCTCTGCTGTACTGAACCACTGACAGACGATCTCTGTTTTCATTCAGTCTCTCTACCATTCTCTGGACAAAGTTTTGCATGGCTGCGAATTCATTCCTTGTACCGTCAGAGCCATCCAACAAGAAAACAACATCCTTTCCTGATTGTTGTCTCACCACTAGGGAACACAAAAGGTAGCTTGTCACATATTTACCGTGGAAAATGTGTACACCAAGATTGAACAGACTAGTACAATTCATGCAGCGGCCTTATTCTCACTAATACACTCAATAAAGCTAAAATGGTCTGATGGATTTGCACTACATTGATGCACAACTGTGTGACGTTCTTACCAGTTGCATTTGGTGTGGTAGGCATGACCTGTACTACCGCTGTGCCCATTGCAGAAGAGATCTGCTCTTGGGCATTGGGGAGGTCAGCGAAATCAGACACAGACACAGCATAACTGGAGTTGAATGCAATGTTTTTCATCTCTGCCCCGGCAGCCCTTCCAGCTCCGATACCAAGCACAACAATGCCCCTGTTTCTAAGAGCAGCGGCTGGTGTATCGGCATTGTCAGATGACTTTCCACCATTCAGAAGGATCAACAGCTGTGGAACGCCTTGCTGGCCCCTACTGCCGGCAGAAGTTGTGAAGACATTGTCATTGACGTATTGGAGGGCTGCCCCAGTGTTGATAGGTCTCCCTCCTCTATGTCTCAACTCTCTGACTGCATCCAAAACATCATTTCTGGTGTCATATGTGTTAAGATAGAAACCGACGTCTGGATCTCTGTTGTACTGGACCACAGAGACACGGTTAGTGTTTTCTCCTATATTCAGAGTTTGCACCACTCTCTCCACAAAGTCACGCATGGCCGGGAAGCCATTTCTCGTTGCGTCAGAATCATCCAGAAGGAAAACTAGATCTTTGGTGGCACTTTCCACTAGGAGAACAGAACATTAAGACAATTAAAACAAGTGTGACTCGTTTTATAACGCGACACGTTTGGTTGATAATTTGGAGGCTACTACTCAAACAGACTTTCATTGTTGACTATATCTGGAAAAAGTTATTATTTTTGTCAGAGTTTGTAAACATACCGGGTGAAGTTGGTGATTCTGGGGCTGCCTCAACAATCACTGTCTCAAGAGAAGACTGAAGTTGTTGCTGGACATTGGGGAGGTCATTGAAATCAGACACAGAAAGAGCAGCACTGGGTTCATGAGAGATCTTTTGCAATTCTCTCGAGTCGGTGTTTCTAGTTCCAATTGCAAATGTCAAGACACCCATTTGTTTGAGGGCAGAGGCCGGTGCATCAACAGTGTCAAAAGACCTGCCACCGCTTAACAATATCAACAGTTGTGGCACTCCTTCTTGGCGCCTGCTTCCAGCAGAGGGCGTAAAGACGTTATCCCTCAAGTACTGGAGTGCAACACCTGTGTTGAGGGGTCTTCCACCTTTATGCCTCAATCCTCTGATTGTGTCAAGGACTTCTCTTTTTGTTGAGTAGGTGTTCAGGTAGAACTGGACAACAGGATCTCTGCTGTACTGAACCACTGACACACGATCTCTGTTTTCATTCAGTCTCTCTACCATTCTCTGGACAAAGTTTTGCATGGCTGCGAATTCATTCCTTGTACCGTCAGAGCCATCCAACAAGAAAACAATATCCTTTCCTGATTGTTGTCTCACCACTAGGGAACACAAAAGGTAGCCTGTCACATATTTACCGTGGAAAATGTGTACACCAAGATTGAACAGACTAGTACAATTCATGCAGCTGCCTTATTCTCACTAATACACACAATAAAGCTAAAATGGTCTGATGGATTTGCACTACATAGATGCACAACTGTGTGACGTTCTTACCAGTTACATTTGGTGTGGTAGGCATGACCTGTACTACCGCTGTGCCCATTGCAGAAGAGATCTGCTCTTGGGCATTGGGGAGGTCAGCGAAATCAGACACAGACACAGCATAACTGGAGTTGAATGCAATGTTTTTCATCTCTGCCCCGGCAGCCCTTCCAGCTCCGATACCAAGCACAACAATGCCCCTGTTTCTAAGAGCAGCGGCTGGTGTATCGGCATTGTCAGATGACTTTCCACCATTCAGAATGATCAACAGCTGTGGAACGCCTTGCTGGCCCCTACTGCCGGCAGAAGTTGTGAAGACATTGTCATTGACGTATTGGAGGGCTGCCCCAGTGTTGATAGGTCTCCCTCCTCTATGTCTCAACTCTCTGACTGCATCCAAAACATCATTTCTGGTATCATATGTGTTAAGATAGAAACCGACGTCTGGATCTCTGTTGTACTGGACCACAGAGACACGGTTAGTGTTTTCTCCTATATTCAGAGTTTGCACCACTCTCTCCACAAAGTCACGCATGGCCGGGAAGCCATTTCTCGTTGCGTCAGAATCATCCAGAAGGAAAACTAGATCTTTGGTGGCACTTTCCACTAGGAGAACAGAACATTAAGACAATTAAAACAAGTGTGACTCGTTTTATAACGCGACACGTTTGGTTGATAATTTGGAGGCTACTACTCAAACAGACTTTCATTGTTGACTATATCTGGAAAAAGTTATTATTTTTGTCAGAGTTTGTAAACATACCGGGTGAAGTTGGTGATTCTGGGGCTGCCTCAACAATCACTGTCTCAAGAGAAGACTGAAGTTGTTGCTGGACATTGGGGAGGTCATTGAAATCAGACACAGAAAGAGCAGCACTGGGTTCATGAGAGATCTTTTGCAATTCTCTCGAGTCGGTGTTTCTAGTTCCAATTGCAAATGTCAAGACACCCATTTGTTTGAGGGCAGAGGCCGGTGCATCAACACTGTCAAAAGACCTGCCACCGCTTAACAATATCAACAGTTGTGGCACTCCTTCTTGGCGCCTGCTTCCAGCAGAGGGCGTAAAGACGTTATCCCTCAAGTACTGGAGTGCAACACCTGTGTTGAGGGGTCTTCCACCTTTATGCCTCAATCCTCTGATTGTGTCAAGGACTTCTCTTTTTGTTGAGTAGGTGTTCAGGTAGAACTGGACAACAGGATCTCTGCTGTACTGAACCACTGACACACGATCTCTGTTTTCATTCAGTCTCTCTACCATTCTCTGGACAAAGTTTTGCATGGCTGCGAATTCATTCCTTGTACCGTCAGAGCCATCCAACAAGAAAACAACATCCTTTCCTGATTGTTGTCTCACCACTAGGGAACACAAAAGGTAGCCTGTCACATATTTACCGTGGAAAATGTGTACACCAAGATTGAACAGACTAGTACAATTCATGCAGCGGCCTTATTCTCACTAATACACTCAATAAAGCTAAAATGGTCTGATGGATTTGCACTACATAGATGCACAACTGTGTGACGTTCTTACCAGTTACATTTGGTGTGGTAGGCATGACCTGTACTACCGCTGTGCCCATTGCAGAAGAGATCTGCTCTTGGGCATTGGGGAGGTCAGCGAAATCAGACACAGACACAGCATAACTGGAGTTGAATGCAATGTTTTTCATCTCTGCCCCGGCAGCCCTTCCAGCTCCGATACCAAGCACAACAATGCCCCTGTTTCTAAGAGCAGCGGCTGGTGTATCGGCATTGTCAGATGACTTTCCACCATTCAGAAGGATCAACAGCTGTGGAACGCCTTGCTGGCCCCTACTGCCGGCAGAAGTTGTGAAGACATTGTCATTGACGTATTGGAGGGCTGCCCCAGTGTTGATAGGTCTCCCTCCTCTATGTCTCAACTCTCTGACTGCATCCAAAACATCATTTCTGGTGTCATATGTGTTAAGATAGAAACCGACGTCTGGATCTCTGTTGTACTGGACCACAGAGACACGGTTAGTGTTTTCTCCTATATTCAGAGTTTGCACCACTCTATCCACAAAGTCACGCATGGCCGGGAAGCCATTTCTCGTTGCGTCAGAATCATCCAGAAGGAAAACTAGATCGTTGGTGGCACTTTCCACTAGGAGAACAGAACATTAAGACAATTAAACAAGTGTGACTCGTATTATAACGCGACACGTTTGGTTGATAATTTGGAGGCTACTACTCAAACAGACTTTCATTGTTGACTATATCTGGAAAAAGTTATTATTTTTGTCAGAGTTTGTAAACATACCGGGTGAAGTTGGTGATTCTGGGGCTGCCTCAACAATCACTGTCTCAAGAGAAGACTGAAGTTGTTGCTGGACATTGGGGAGGTCATTGAAATCAGACACAGAAAGAGCAGCACTGGGTTCATGAGAGATCTTTTGCAATTCTCTCGAGTCGGTGTTTCTAGTTCCAATTGCAAATGTCAAGACACCCATTTGTTTGAGGGCAGAGGCCGGTGCATCAACACTGTCAAAAGACCTGCCACCGCTTAACAATATCAACAGTTGTGGCACTCCTTCTTGGCGCCTGCTTCCAGCAGAGGGCGTAAAGACGTTATCCCTCAAGTACTGGAGTGCAACACCTGTGTTGAGGGGTCTTCCACCTTTATGCCTCAATCCTCTGATTGTGTCAAGGACTTCTCTTTTTGTTGAGTAGGTGTTCAGGTAGAACTGGACAACAGGATCTCTGCTGTACTGAACCACTGACACACGATCTCTGTTTTCATTCAGTCTCTCTACCATTCTCTGGACAAAGTTTTGCATGGCTGCGAATTCATTCCTTGTACCATCAGAGCCATCCAACAAGAAGACAACATCCTTTCCTGATTGTTGTCTCACCACTAGGGAACACAAAAGGTAGCTTGTCACATATTTACTGTGGAAAATGTGTACACCAAGATTGAACAGACTAGTACAATTCATGCAGCGGCCTTATTCTCACTAATACACATAATAAAGCTAAAATGGTCTGATGGATTTGCACTACATTGATGCACAACTGTGTGACGTGCTTACCAGTTACATTTGGTGTGGTAGGCATGACCTGTACTACCGCTGTGCCCATGGCAGAAGAGATCTGCTCTTGGGCATTGGGGAGGTCAGCGAAATCAGACACAGACACAGCATAACTGGAGTTGAATGCAATGTTTTTCATCTCTGCCCCGGCAGCCCTTCCAGCTCCGATACCAAGCACAACAATGCCCCTGTTTCTAAGAGTAGCGGCTGGTGTATCGGCATTGTCAGATGACTTTCCACCATTCAGAAGGATCAACAGCTGTGGAACGCCTTGCTGGCCCCTACTGCCGGCAGAAGTTGTGAAGACATTGTCATTGACGTATTGGAGGGCTGCCCCAGTGTTGATAGGTCTCCCTCCTCTATGTCTCAACTCTCTGACTGCATCCAAAACATCATTTCTGGTGTCATATGTGTTAAGATAGAAACCGACGTCTGGATCTCTGTTGTACTGGACCACAGAGACACGGTTAGTGTTTTCTCCTATATTCAGAGTTTGCACCACTCTCTCCACAAAGTCACGCATGGCCGGGAAGCCATTTCTCGTTGCGTCAGAATCATCCAGAAGGAAAACTAGATCTTTGGTGGCACTTTCCACTAGGAGAACAGAACATTAAGACAATTAAAACAAGTGTGACTCGTTTTACAACGCGACACGTTTGGTTGATAATTTGGAGGCTACTACTCAAACAGACTTTCATTGTTGACTATATCTGGAAAAAGTTATTATTTTTGTCAGAGTTTGTAAACATACCGGGTGAAGTTGGTGATTCTGGGGCTGCCTCAACAATCACTGTCTCAAGAGAAGACTGAAGTTGTTGCTGGACATTGGGGAGTTCATTGAAATCAGACACAGAAAGAGCAGCACTGGGTTCATGAGAGATCTTTTGCAATTCTCTCGAGTCGGTGTTTCTAGTTCCAATTGCAAATGTCAAGACACCCATTTGTTTGAGGGCAGAGGCCGGTGCATCAACACTGTCAAAAGACTTGCCACCGCTTAACAATATCAACAGTTGTGGCACTCCTTCTTGGCGCCTGCTTCCAGCAGAGGGCGTAAAGACGTTATCCCTCAAGTACTGGAGTGCAACACCTGTGTTGAGGGGTCTTCCACCTTTATGCCTCAATCCTCTGATTGTGTCAAGGACTTCTCTTTTTGTTGAGTAGGTGTTCAGGTAGAACTGGACAACAGGATCTCTGCTGTACTGAACCACTGACACACGATCTCTGTTTTCATTCAGTCTCTCTACCATTCTCTGGACAAAGTTTTGCATGGCTGCGAATTCATTCCTTGTACCGTCAGAGCCATCCAACAAGAAAACAACATCCTTTCCTGATTGTTGTCTCACCACTAGGGAACACAAAAGGTAGCTTGTCACATATTTACTGTGGAAAATGTGTACACCAAGATTGAACAGACTAGTACAATTCATGCAGCGGCCTTATTCTCACTAATACACACAATAAAGCTAAAATGGTCTGATGGATTTGCACTACATTGATGCACAACTGTGTGACGTTCTTACCAGTTACATTTGGTGTGGTAGGCATGACCTGTACTACCGCTGTGCCCATTGCAGAAGAGATCTGCTCTTGGGCATTGGGGAGGTCAGCGAAATCAGACACAGACACAGCATAACTGGAGTTGAATGTAATGTTTTTCATCTCTGCCCCGGCAGCCCTTCCAGCTCCGATACCAAGGACAACAATGCCCCTGTTTCTAAGAGCAGCGGCTGGTGTATCGGCATTGTCAGATGACTTTCCACCATTCAGAAGGATCAACAGCTGTGGAACGCCTTGCTGGCCCCTACTGCCGGCAGAAGTTGTGAAGACATTGTCATTGACGTATTGGAGGGCTGCCCCAGTGTTGATAGGTCTCCCTCCTCTATGTCTCAGCTCTCTGACTGCATCTAAAACATCATTTCTGGTGTCATATGTGTTAAGATAGAAACCGACGTCTGGATCTCTGTTGTACTGGACCACAGAGACCCGGTTAGTGTTTTCTCCTATATTCAGAGTTTGCACCACTCTCTCCACAAAGTCACGCATGGCCGGGAAGCCATTTCTCGTTGCGTCAGAATCATCCAGAAGGAAAACTAGATCTTTGGTGGCACTTTCCACTAGGAGAACAGAACATTAAGACAATTAAAACAAGTGTGACTTGCATTATAACGCGACACGTTTGGTTGATAATTTGGAGGCTACTACTCAAAAACACTTTCATTGTTGACTATATCTGGAAAAAGATATTATCATTGTCAGAGTTTGTAAACATACCGGGTGAAGTTGGTGATTCTGGGGCTGCCTCAACAATCACTGTCTCAAGAGAAGACTGAAGTTGTTGCTGGACATTGGGGAGGTCATTGAAATCAGACACAGAAAGAGCAGCACTGGGTTCATGAGAGATCTTTTGCAATTCTCTCGAGTCGGTGTTTCTAGTTCCAATTGCAAATGTCAAGACACCCATTTGTTTGAGGGCAGAGGCCTGTGCATCAACACTGTCAAAAGACCTGCCACCGCTTAACAATATCAACAGTTGTGGCACTCCTTCTTGGCGCCTGCTTCCAGCAGAGGGCGTAAAGACGTTATCCCTCAAGTACTGGAGTGCAACACCTGTGTTGAGGGGTCTTCCACCTTTATGCCTCAATCCTCTGATTGTGTCAAGGACTTCTTTTTTTGTTGAGTAGGTGTTCAGGTAGAACTGGACAACAGGATCTCTGCTGTACTGAACCACTGACACACGATCTCTGTTTTCATTCAGTCTCTCTACCATTCTCTGGACAAAGTTTTGCATGGCTGCGAATTCATTCCTTGTACCGTCAGAGCCATCCAACAAGAAAACAACATCTTTTCCTGATTGCTGTTCCATCACTACAAATTAGAAGCACATCCTTAATGTTATTGTCATTTCTTTAAATTTGTAATGATAAATATATATATTACCTTCTTTTGTATCTTCATGCTCTTTGAATTGAGAAAGGTGTGACACCAAACTCTGATGTACTAAAGGAAGATTTACAAAGTCGGGGACTGAATATGTATAGTTTGGATTAGATGCAATCAGTTGCATCTCCATTGAATTTGCAGTTTTTGATCCAATAGCAAACATTTCCACTCCTGCAGCTTTTAGCACGCCTGCTGGACCTCTTGGAGAATCCCTTGACCTTCCTCCAGCCAAAAGAACTAACATTTGTTTGGCCCTTTCATTTTTTCTACTACCAGCGTTTGAAGTAAGGACCTTGTTTATAACATGCTGCAGAGCTGCTCCAATATACTGTGGCCGTCCTCCTTTAGGTTTTAAATTTGCAATGTTCTTCAAGATCTCATCCTTTGTTGCATATCTATTGAGACTGAAACTCTGTTCAGCATTATTGCTATACTGGACAACAGCCACCCTGTCCTTTCCAGTGTCGATCTCAAAGGTGGTGACAACTCGAGCAACAAAATCTCGCATTGAAGGGAATTTACTCCTGTTATCATCTGATCCATCAATGAGAAAGACAACATCCCTTTTTGCCATGGATGTTGAACCTACAAGACACACAATACTTATCAGACATGTGCAGCATCTCTCAATTTTGACTTTGACTTTCTACTCACCAGGTGTTGGATAATGAGGCCTTAATTGGTTTGATTTTCCTGCAATTATCTGTTCTCTCACATGTGTGAAATTGGATACATCAAAATAGCTGGTGTCAGGATTATACGCCAATTTCTCCACCTCCATCTTATCTGCATTATTTATTCCTATACTATACACTACAATTCCTGCTCTTTGAAGCCTCATCATTGGACCCACTATGTCATCATCTGATTTTCTTGCAGTCACCAGTATTACAATTTGTGGTGTACCCTGCATTGCTCTGCTTCCTGATGCAGCAGTGAAGACATTCGTCCTCACATAGTCCAGTGAGGCACCAAGATTAACACTTGGTCTTCCTGAAAGCTCTGTGTATCGCAAATAGAGTAACAAATCATCTCTGGAAGAATATTGGTTCAAGAGGAAATGTACTGTTGGCTGTGTATTGTACTCTATCAAAGCCACTTGCATCCTGCTTGGTCCAATTTCTAATTGTTTGACAAACCCAGTTATAAAATCCCAAATGGGTGTTTCACTTGGAAGCATGTCCATGGATCCATCAAGAAGGAATACAATATCAGCAGTTTGAAGTTCAGACAGTCGGATGCTAGGTAGGTCTGAAATTGACAGATTATGATATCAGGGGCAATATTACAATCAGGCCTAATACATACAATATGCAAATACTTTAAAGCTTATCTTACCAACTACATGAGGAAACTCTGTTGATTCTGGAAGGCCACTCAATGCTGACTCAATCCTTTCATTAAGATTTTGCAAGTTTTTAAAATTTGGCACTGAAATATAATGTGCCGGCGTATAAGCCACTGTTTGCATTTCCAGAGTATCAGCATTGTTTGTTCCAATGCTAAAAGTCATAATAGTATCATCTCTTAATGACTGGGCAGCTCCTCTCACGTCATCACTTGATCTGCTACCGCTGAGCACATAAAGATACTGAGGTACCTTCTGATCTCGCCTACCTCCTACCACCGTGGCAAAAACATTATTTCTGACAAACTCCAAGGCTTTTCCAATGTTCAGTGGTCTTCCCAGTTTGTGTCTCATTGTTCTTATAGAGCTGAGCATGTCATTTTTACTTGAGTAAGAATTCAAGTAGAAGTTGGCTGTAGGATCACGGTTGTACTGGACAACAGCAACTTGGTCTTGGTTATCATCTATGTTCATGTCCTCAACCATGGTTTCAATGAAGGTTCTTATCTGCTCAAAGCCATTTCTTGAGTCATATGATCCATCTATAAGAAATACTACATCACTTTTCTTCTCATCTGGAATCAAAAGTATATTATATTATTTGAATGATACATTTATTAGTTCCACAATGGGGAACTTCAAGATTTAAAATATATTTATTGAACACCTTACCTATGTCTTTTGTTTGAGAAATTGGTAGTACACTGTGCTCATTCATCAAAGACAATACTTGTTGTCTGACCCCAGAAATCTCCTCAAAGCTATCAATTGATAATGCATATTTAGGTTCAAGAGCTATCGTTTGCAGCTCAATGGTGTCAGTATCAGAGGTCCCAATTGCAATAGAAATAACACCAGTTTCTTTGAGAATTTTTGCTTGTGTCCGTATATCATCTTGGGATCTCCCACCATATATCGTTATGAGAATTTGTGGAACTGCTTCATCAATTCTACTCCCAGAGCCACTTGTAAACAGATTGTCTGTTACATATTGGATAGCCTTTCCAATGTAATGAGGGTAGCCCCTTATGTGCTTTAAACCTCTCACTGCTTCATTAATATCATCCAGTGTGGAGTACTTTTTAAAGTCAAATTCAGTTTGTGTTTTGTTACTGAATTGTACGACAGCTACTCTATCTTTATCTGGACCAATGTCGAGTTCCGGCAGTAAATAAATAACAAAGTCTTTTATGTCTTCAAACATTTGGTGAGAATCATCAGAACCATCCAGAAGAAACAAAACATCTCTTTTTAAGCCATTTGTAATATCTGTTTAAAAAAAGAAGAGAAATGTAGTGTTTACATGTACATATTACAACAAAATCTTTATTCATGTGGTTCTCAACTGGCTGTATATGGCAAGCCAAGCTGGGTTTCTGGTTTTCTTCCAGCCTTTTGAGAACCACAAAACTGCCACCCAATGTCTTACCAGTTGATGGCGGTCTTATGGCAGGTGCCTCAGCTCTTTGTTTAGTTGATATTATGAGCTGTTTAATGAGTGAAAGCTCTCTTGGTTCAGTGCCAATCACTGCATAATCAGGTTTATGAGAGATAGACTGAATCTCCAACACATCTGCTTTCTCTGTTCCCAACACAAATACAATCACTCCTGCAGTTTTCAAGTTTGTAACTGCATTCCTGAAATCGTCACTTGACCTTCCACCGGTCATAAGCACCAAAATCTGAGGGACAGCCATTTGGTGTCTGCTTCCAGAGGAGGCACTGAATACGTTATCTATTACAAACTGAAGTGCTTTTCCTGTATTGCGGGCTCTGCCTCCTTTGTGCCGTATGTTTTGCACGGCATCCACCAAAGTGTCCAGAGTTTGGAAAGAGTTCAGGTAGAAATTAACAGAAGGTTCATAGCTGTACTGGACCAGAGCAACACGATCATTGTCCTTCTGTACAGTCACACTTTGGATAATCGTCTTGACAAAGTCACGCATTGATTCAAATTCAGTTAATGTTTCATCTGAAGTGTCCATTAAGAATACAAAGTCCCGCTGTAAAAAATCTGGAGAACCTTTGACACATAAAAGACAAGGTTAAGTTGGTCATTTGGACTAGACAACCAGATACTGTTAATAAACTGCTGTTTCAAAAATATTTCAAGTTAGTATGTACAGCAGAAGATTACTGTAGAAGACTTTGATCCTTACCTGTTTCTATTACGATTGTTGAACTTTGTCTTGGCTGCCGTGGTACATTTTTAATCAAAGAAATCAGTAGTTGTGGGGTACTGCCAGAGTCAAATTGAGGCACAGTGAGACTATATGATGGTATGTGTGCAATACTCTGCATCTCCAGTATATCTGCATTTCTGGTGCCCACACAAAATGGTGTGACTCTTTTTTGCTTTAGTGCAGCAGCAGCTTTTGTCACGTTATCACTGGATTTACCCCCATTCAACAATACCAGTATTTGTGGGACGCCATCTTGATTTCGACTCCCCTTAGAGGGGGTAAATACATCATTTTGCACATATTCCAGTGCAGCCCCTGTGTTTCTCAATTCACCTCCGATATGTATCATGCTTTGGACAGCATCCAGCACATCCTGCTTGTCGAAGTAGGTATTTAAATTGATCTCAGTTTCCACTTCGTCACTGTACTGCACCACAGACACACGGTGAGTATTCTCGCCAACATTAAGTGACTCTACCACCGTTTGAACAAAGCCTTGCATTGCTGGGAACATGCCCAGAGAATCGTCAGAGGAATCCAACAAAAACACAATGTCTCTCTGGGAAGATTCTAATTCAACTGCAAAAATTGGAGACATTTTACATTTAGAACAAATACATACAATGCAGATATGTATCTATGATTATGTGTATGACCTTGTTAGTGTAACCGTGATGTTTAGGAACACAACAACATTACATACATTATATTGTATACAATTCAAATATCTGAAACAAACAAATATCTGAAACAAACAAGTCAATCCATTCAACATAACAATATTGCATTGGTGCTTGGAGGTTATTGAAGAAGAACCAAGAAACACAATGATAGGATTATCATTGGATGGAAAAAAATAAATAAATAAAAAGCTCAGGGAAAAAATACAAAGAAATTAGAATCCAATCAACAATAGGGATTTACAAAAATGAAAGAGACATCTTCCAAATATGAAAGATCATGAAAAATCAAGTCATGACAATAATGAGTAAAATAGATGATGTCATCATCATCAGATGAAAGAAAGATTTGTTCATATCCTTAAGTCCGTAGTCCTTAAGGTTTCGGCAAGAAAAAAAGAACCAGTTTTTTCAGCCGTTTACCTGAAGAAAAATGATCAAAAAATGGAATCCTTTATGTTCTTACCAGCAGAAGTATAAGACTGCACTTCATCCTGGATAAATGGGGCTATCTCAGTTTGGACGGACAAAAGCTCTCCAAATACAGGAAAATAGTAGAGAAATTTTGGAAATGAAGCGATAAGTCCAAGTTCTTCTGGCTGGGCATTCTTCATCCCGACTCCCAACACGAGGACTCCCATTTCCTTCAGTTTTGAAGCTGGTTGTGAAACGTCATCATTGGATTTTCCCCCAGAGAGCAAAATCAGAATTTGAGGAACCCCATTCAGTTTCCTACTTCCTGATGCAGATGTAAATACGTGATCGTGGACATAGTTTAGGGCCAGACCAGTGTTTCGAGATGTCCCTCCTTTGTGCCTTAAACCTCTAACCGCATAGACAATGGCACTTTTGGTTTGATGAGAGTTCAGATTGATGAAGGTTTTAGCCTCCTCGCTGTATTGTACAACAGCCACACGGATCACTTCATCGTCCATGTCTTCTACCATTCGTCTGATAAATTCACAAATAGCTGGGAAGCCATTTCTGGAATCATCCGAACAATCAACCAAAAAAACTATATCTCTCTTTTTGCTTCGCACGCCAACTTAATTAGGGACAAGACAAAAAAGAGATGCTTGGTTTTGATACAATGATCAATGATTTTCAGGATTCAAACTTGTACATCATGAAGAACCATAAATATTGCAAAAATAAAGTTGTGTGGACAAGAGTTCTCAAAAGACATGGCAGCACAAGCAGAAAATGCACATAACTACTGAAGATTTACAGTGGCAATTATGCAGTAGAGATAAAATGGGTCTGATTGGACAATTGAGAGTATGAAAGAAGATAGTGTCAGGGGTACCGTGACTGAATGTCATGTTGCTCAAACTCCACATCCTGCTCCTCTGTAATGTTATGTGGGAGACATGCACCAACACAAGTTTGTGAAATAAAAGGCCTTATTTAAGGTCAAAACTGCTATGTTTGAGTGTGGTGCAGACAGCCCAAGTTCACTATAATATCACTAGTACCTCACAACAAATTAATTTGTGTGTTTTAAACTATGACAGTAAATTGTTCCTCCAAGTCCAAAAAAGTTAGCTTGAGCCTAGCTCACAGTAGCCTGGTCTTATCCATCTGTAAACTCCGGTCCATTATCATTTCCTACATGTACATCTGGGTCTGATCCTAGTGGCTGCAGTTTCCTCGGTTAAATCCCTCCCGGTCATTCAGCGAGCAGGGAGGTAGGTGTCGGTGACGTCAAGAGTTTGCGCCAATTTGCTGGTCGTAGTTTGGCAATGACAACGAACGCAATATAGTAAATTAATCCTTTCTGAATCAGCTCCAAATATCAAGTATAACCCGTACATAATTTAAGTAAGTCTGCATACTGTTTGTACTTTCATAATATGGATAATCTTCATGGTGTCTTTTCTGCTTGGGCTTTATGTTGGAGAGATACAAACATCAAATGGATGTGGAATTTGAGCATTAATTGATTGTTAATTGCTGTATATACCCTGAATATTAAGAAGGTTTTGGATATGTTGGTAAATTAATTGCATATAATATGGTGCAAAAAAGAAAGAAAAATGTATTTGATAAAACCAAAGTGGTGGTCCAGCACATATTGGTGAGTAGATTCACACAGAACAATCGCTCAAAAGCAACTTCCTTTATGACATTCTTGACAACCACTTTAAAAATCAAGCAAGCACAATTCAAAGTAAACATCATACAGTAAAAGCCAAAATGAGTTTCTTACCTAGTAAATCAGAGATGCCATTCAATGTTTCCTTGGTGTTGTTTTTGAAATCTAGAGTGGGAAGGACCTGTGACTGGATTTGACTCAACATGTTGTAGTCATTCACCTTATAGACCATGTTGGGTTTGAATGCAATGGTTTCCAGCTCAGGCCGATCGGCATCTCCCACTCCGATACCCACAGTCATAATCTCATGCTCTTTGAGTGCAGATGCTGGAGTTTTGATGTTATCGTCAGACGGTTGACTTGTCAGAACAACCAATATCTGAGGCACACCTTCGAGTCGCCTACTACCCCACGAAGAGGTGAAAACCATAAGTCGTGTGAAACGCATGGCCGCCCCAGTATTAACCTCTGTTCCACCTTTGTGCTTCAGTTTGTCAATAGCACCCATCAAGTTGGTTTTAGTTTTGTGTGTAGACAGGTGGAACTCTACTGTGGCCGTATCAGCATATTGGACCACGGCTACTCGGTCCTTGCCGTCATCGATAGACATGCGTTCCACTATGCTTTTCACAAAGTGCTTTATTTGTGAGTGGCCATTTCTTGTGTTATCAGAGGTTTCCAGTAGAAACACAATATCTTTTTTTACAGCATCACTAATTAGGACTGAGGCACAAAGAATATACAAAAAGGTAGATAAAGTTGAAAATGGAAAGATTAAGAAAGGCAAAGAGGTCAGGTTTGGTTCATGTGGTATATTTGTATGGGGTAATTGGATTTTATTTAGGCAGCTATTGGACGAATGTCCTTTTCTTCCCCCTTATTATACCATTTCTGGGTCGGGGGGTGGGTAATCAGAGCTCCACCCAATGCTCAAAGCACCAATCTTGGTTTTCAAGTCTTAAAAATATTTGGTGCATATGCATAGGGTTTTTTGATAGCCTTTTCAAATTACATTTCAAATTCACTCATGGCCAAATTATACCCCATACATAATAACCATGTTGTAAGATAAGTAAGAATGTCTTTACCTTGCTTTAGCACGACTTGCAGTTCGTCTTTGGGCAGGCTTACGAAGGTGTTGAGTCTTCCGGGCACTGTGCTCAGCTCGTTGAAGTCTCTCACTTTAAAAGCGAATGATGGGTTGTGAGATATCGTCTCCATCTGCCTTGGGTCTGCATCCTTTACGCCAACCCCAAACGGTACCACTCCACCGGTTTTGAGTGCACCTGCAGACTCGCTCACGCTGTCTCTTGACCGACTCCCAGACAGTACAATGAGGAACTGTGGAATACCTTGTGCTGCTCGGCTCCCCTGGCGCTCAGACATGACGGTGTCCTTCATGTATCTCAATGCAGCCCCAGTGTTGAGGCCGCGACCGCCGACTACTCTCATGTTGCTAATGGCTCGTAACACATCATCTTTGGACTGATGAGTGTTCAGGAAGAAAGCGGGAGTCGGACGTTCGCTGTGTTGGACGACAGCCACTCGGACTTTGTCAGAGCCAATGTCAAGGGGCTCGATGACTTTGGTGATAAAATCCTGGATGTATGGGAAATCTTGCCGCACACTGTCGGTGCCATCAATAAGGAAGGCAACATCTCTTCCCTCTGTAAGAAAAAGCAAGTATTACTAAACATTTCATTTATGCATATATTTCAGGTAATGGCACAGATACAAGAACAAGGTAGACAAATACAGTCACGTAAAACATCTACAGTAATGTACGGTATATACTGCATGTAAACAATGCAGGTTCAGATGAATTGTGTCATTACCACCGCCTAGGAGGTAAAGTGATCACAGGTGTTTGTCTGTTTCTTTCTGTGTTTGTAAAATAACTAAAGTTATGGGAGTTTTGTAAATTTTCAGGAAACATGGCCAACAACTGCATCAATTTCGGAGATGATTTGAATGACTGTCTGGATGCAGACTTTTTTTAAATCAAGATTTGAAGTTTTTTTACCATAGGTTGTACGATAAAATAAAAAATGAAGCCACAATCTGAGCCTCTTTTTCTTGTACAGTGTGCATGCAGTGCACACAAATCTATTCTGTGCTATGTGCTCATCATAGCCCCTTCAAGCATAAAAGGACCAAACAATGACAAGCAGATCCTGTGCACATAGATATACAAATAATAATTATAATGATAATAATGCATCGGTTAACATTTATATATCACTTTTCAGGACGCTCAAAGACGCTTCACATGTCATTAATCTTTCACTCCAAACACAGTGGTGATACTGGATATCATTATAATGGCTTTTTTTGCAGATGATGTCACACATGGTTCAAGCGCCATATGGAGGGGATGACAACAGCGTTTCATTGCCATCAAAGGAACTGCCCAGTACCCTTCATCATATCTGCTATTCTTTCTCTATTTGAATGTATTTGTAACTTGCACGTGTTTGATTTATGTGTTCACATTATCGGTATCTTACATTTGTTGTGATAATGGTGCTAGTGGATCCTTCTGGTTAAAATTGACATATCTCTTGTACCCAACCATTAGTAAAAAGTCCATAAACCTCCAGGGATTTGTAATTTCTGAACTCGTATGAATGCAAGTATGTATTTATTTGCGCTGACTCCATTCACAAGACTCCATTCACATTTCTTATTAGTTGTTGGTGGAAATAGGGCTGAGTCAGTTGCTTTGGCTGCTAACTAACGCTACATTGCTAATAGAGGTATGCTTAGCTAGACCCCAGTCTTTGGCATCCTTGTGGAGTTTCTTCCTGTAAGCCCTCTTCTCGTTGATATTTTGAATGTCTGTTTTACTACTATCCCTCAGTATGGCGTCTGGATGCACTTTGGTCACGTGACTGCAAAACAGCCATTCTATACAAGCTATACCGGTTTCAAAATACAGTTTGTTTTTTACATACAGTACAGGACCAAATAACTCACCGACTTCATCAGGGAACGTTGTCACCGATGTGTCCCCAACTACCGTGGTGAGTTTAGTCCGCATTTGCTCCGACAGGGCTGGTAAGTTTGAGAAGTAGTTTTCATGATAGGCCAAGTCTGGGACAAAGGCCACACTTCTCAGCATGTTGGCATCAGCCTGCCCAGCGCTAACAGTGAAGGTTAGCACTCCAGCCAGAGCCACCTGGTCTGCCACCGCTTTGACCTGGTCCTGGGTTGGGCCTCCTGTGATGAGGATCAAGACCTGCTGGATCCCTTGTCTCCGCCTGGACCCTGTTGATGACTTGAACATGTTTTTGAGGGCATAGTCCAAGGCCTTCCCAGTGTTGAGAACAGACCCGCCCAGCTGTGAGAGTTGGTTGATTTTATTCACCACATCCTCTCTGCTGCTGTAACTGTTCAGGTAGAACTCGATCTTTGGGTCCTCGGCGTACTGAAGCAGGCCGATCTGGACTCTGTCAGGACGGACATCCAGTTGGTTCACAATGTTGATAATAAGCTCCCGCACATAGGGGAAATTATTGGGTCCGACGTAACTCGAGCCATCCACCAAAAACACAAAGTCTCTGACGACTTTTTGTGTCTGCACTGTTGTTATTTCCACCACTAAAAGAAATACAAATATTTGAATGAATTAAAAAAATCTTAATACATTTGTACTGTTTTGTTTGTCAGTGTAATCAGTTATCCATATCCTGTATGTTTTCATCTTTCCAATCCAATGTTGTTTCAAATGTAAAACCTATATCCAAATTAATGAATCCTTTATGAATTCATTCATTAGCTCTTGCAATGAAACAAGTAACGATCTTAAGGAAAACAGCGTTTACAAGTTAAAAAAATTAGATGATCGTTCAATGGTCTATATACTTGCAATGTGAAGATATGACAGATATATCAAGCCTTTATTTGTCATAATGTTGATAATTGGTTCAAAGCTTATTGAAACTCCAAATAATATATTGATTTAACATTGTGTAAGTAGTAAATACGCAATTTTTTGGACAACATTCTAACCTGTATAGTAAATATCTAACATGACATGTAAAGAAAAAATATATATAAATGGGGAGAAAATGGATCTGGTGACATCATAGTCACTTAGGATTCAAGTTTGAGAGTGGTGCATTTGGGCAGAGAAGAGAGAATAAGGAAATGGATAAAACTACGAAAAAATACAGGTGTATTTTGACTGAAGGAACAAGGGTGTAACACAGTTTTTTAAAAGAAAAATTTGTCATATTGTGTTCTTAAAAAACACAGAAAATTGTCGTACCTGTTTCCGTGGGTTCCTCAGTCACAACAGTCCCGGACAGAGATGAAAGAGCATCCACAATGTTTCTTGGGTTTCTGAGCAGGATACGGAAATCTCTAAGCATAAACACCATAGTGTCGGTGAACGCAATCCTCCTCAATTCTGCTTCGTCAGCTGCTTTGGACCCAGCCGCCAAAGTCAAAACCCCCATTTGCTGGAGTGCTCTGCTCGCCTCATCCACACTGTCACTGGACTTCTTTGTGGTCATGAGCAGGACAAGCTGAGGCACACCTTGACGAAGACGACTGCCTTTGTCTGGTCTCAACATATCGGTCCTCACGAAATCCAAAGCGGCTCCCATGTTGACGGTTTGGCCAGGTCTTGGTCTCAGACGTCCCAAAGCAGCTAATAGAGAATCCCGTGACCCATGGGAGTTCAGGTCCATCTCAAGGCGGGGGCTGTTGCTAAACTGGGCCACTCCGACCTGGACTTCGCTCGGACCAATGGGCATGTTGTTCACGAAACGCCGAATGAACTCCCGAGTGGAGTTGAGGAGAGTGGCGCCCATAGTGGAGTCAAGGAGGAAAATTATATCTCTCGGTCCAACTACCAAGGCTGAAAGGAAAAGAAAAAGTTATTATTTTAACTATGAACTATTATTTTTGCCCCTTTTGGTAAACATGAATTGGAACCGCTTAAAAGAGTTTCAATTGTACTCATTAAATATAACTAGATTAACTCATTTGTTACATAGGACCATGCATTCTTTCCCCGTTGATGTTTTTTTTATCAACTTCTTGAAGTTTTCTGCATATATCCAAAAATCTGCCACTTGCAGATTCATAAAATAAAAGAGGATAGAGGAAACTTCAACTAAGTTCTACCAAATTGTTTGTTCCACACTGAATACTTGTATGAATGACAGGGTTGGACAGATAACCAATTCAGTTGCATTGCCTGTGGAAGTTTTGGAACTGAAAAAGGCAGGATAATACAGTGAATACTGTAGCTTAAGCAGTCGGCAAAAGCAGAGAGATGCAGATCTGAAGCTTCAAAGAGGATTGAACAGTTTGGGGGGAGTTATGATGAAGTTAGCTCGAGAAAAAGGAAGCATAGGTTAAGGCCAGATCATACTTTGTAAGACGTAAGAGCTTTCTTCTCGCACTGTTCTTACAGCTTGTTCTTGACACCCAATGTAAAGTATACAGTATGAATGCCCAGCTTACATCGTATAAAGTATGGATTGGCCTCAAGATTACATAGATTTACTTTCGCAACTCTTTACAGCCCAAAATGCAAAGAAGAAAAACAGGGAAATAACCATGGGTATGAGTCAAAGTGTAGTGTAGTGTTTATTCTCTAGCACAAGCATTTTTAGTTTGCACAAAATTCCTCCATTCAAAATCGATTGTTGTAGAAAGTTCTTGAAGTTGCACCCGTCTATTCCAACCCACAGCCATCGTTTAGAAAAGTGACCTACCTTCTGTGAACTCATTCTGAACTATTATGGTGCGCTGGACAACCCCGTTAAGGTAGGGCAACAGTTGGTTGCCCACGGTGGAGGCAGATCTGAAATCTGGGGTGGATAGAACAAAACTCCTGTCTGTGGCCACTGTCTCCAAGTCAGCCGAGGCAGAACCACCGATTGCCACCCCGAACATAATCACTCCTGCCCTTTTCAGTGCCCGTTCCCCTGCTCCGGTGTCATCCGTGGAAGAGCCTCCGCTGATCGCCACTAACATCTGCGGCACGCCCTCCTCTGCCCTGCCACCTGCATTAGAGCTCAGCAGGCTCTCGGACACTTCCTCCAAGGCGGCACCCAGGTTCGAATCATCGCCCCCTGGGAAGGACAGCCCCTTCACGGCCTCCAGGACTGAGGCTTTGTTGTCATAGCTATTCAAGTAAAACTTTATGTCAGGGTTGCCATTGTAAAGGGCCAAAGCCACTTGAATTTTGTCCCTGGCCACATCAAGGCGCTCTATTATTCTCAATGCCAAATCGCGCACATAGGGGAAGTTTGCAGCTCCAACGTTCTGTGATCCATCAATTAAGAGAACTAGGTCGGCTGAGTCTTGTGCTTTAAGGAGAGAGAGAGAAGACAAAACAAAATGGAACTTGTGAAAGCGTTAACACAGTGAGACAGACACAGAAATCACACGTGCTCATTGTTCAACGTGTAAACATCAACATACTGCATGAGGCTCAACTAATGAGGGAACTGTGCACGTTTTAGTGGAACCCCTATATACCCTGAGGCTCATGGGAGATATTTGCCAATGCATTTAAAGGTTTTTGATTCTATGTCAGAGAGCTTTGGAGTTCTCTTGCCATTTCCCATTAAGGTATTGTCTATAATGACAGCTAATTTTTTTTTTTTTTAGAATGATCAATTTTATTTTTTATTTTTGCTACTACTGGACACCTGAAATTCTCCTTCGGGGTATCAATAAAGTATCTATCTATCTATCTATCTATCTAATTTAACCCCTACATGTATCAGTATAGTTAATGTGAAGTATCATGTCATGAACTTGATACCAGTTAATCATGTACTATAATTTTGTTGGTGTAATCCCTTGTAGTGATCTAATGTAGATATAACTCAATAGCAACCGATTTGCAGCGCAGACGGCTTTTAGTTTTTGAAGCGTAAATACTCTAGTTATATAAAACAGTTATTGCACTTGCTTTTAATAAATCTGGTGGGGAACTTGACATTTGTTGGGGGGAAATTCTCAGAACTTCAATGATTTGAATGGGAGCAGTCAAAATTAATTCTAAGAGTCATAGTGTTAAAGGTAGTAAAACATAGTCCAGATATTATTTTTAGAAATGTTTTAACCACTTACAAACTTTTTGCTACTTGCTAGTAATATATTTCTTATGGGAATAAGTTGTAATTGTACTATTTGTCTTCCTCCAGCTCATCCCCGGGAAGACCCAGGAACTCCAGGAGGGACTAAGTTTCTCAGCCGGCGATTGGGCGTCCCTGCTTAGACTGCTGCCCCCGCGACCGGCCAACGGATGAAGCGGAAGAAAATGGTTGGATGGATAATCGTCTTATGCACAGTCCCATCTCTATTGAGTTCAGCCTTCCATGCAGACTCAGGTTATAGACTTCAGTGACCAGTAATGAAACTATGCCCATCTCTGAAGTTTGCAGCTTCTCAATAACTCAAATATGTCAAGTTCATAAAAAAATCATTTACCAAACCAAAATACTGCCTTGGATAGATGCTTGTGCCAATCCAAAGATATATTTTGGTATTTAAACAAAAGAGCATATTTGATGTCTGTTAGCTGCAGATCAGAGATGTCTGACAGATTCATTACTGTGTTCAAAAACATTTGGCACATTTTACACAAAAATAAACTGTGGATAAAAGACACAAAGATAAAAACACAAGACACAAGAGAAGAGGTGCACTGTTAGATATTGTTAAATACTCACTGACCGCAGAGGATCTACTTGATGACATGTGATAAGTATGTTCTCTCTTGTAATAAACTGTATTCAATTGTATGCATTTCAAATGTGTGTCTCTCCTTGTTATGTACATTTAAATGATCTAAAATTTATTCATGAATAACCAGTTTTAGTTATAGGAAAATCAACAAATAAAACCTTAAGACTTAAATAGGTGGCGCAGTGGTTAGCTTCACAGCAAGAAGGTCGTGAATTCCATTCCACCTTCAGGCCTTTCGGTGTGGAGTTTGCATGTTGTCCCTGTGTCTGCTCTGGTTTCCTCCAGGTGCTCCGGTTTCTCCAACCACTAAAACCATGCACAATACGCCCCCATAGCACTCTCCCACAGCTGTTGTCAGACTGAACGGAGCACATTAAATTGAACGATGATGATAAATAAAAAGCATTGTAGATACTTGATTAGTAAATGTTTTCTGATTCTTGTGTGATTCTCTTACTACTGTCCTGTATGTGTATATGTTGATATTGTAATAATGTCCCCACTGTGGGATGAATAAAGGTTATTTTAGTTTGTGTTATCTAATGCTTCTGATGGCAACAATAAAAGAGATTGATTAGACTGATCCTGACATCCCTAAAATGGGTTTAATGTTGTGCTATGTGTGTCGTGTTAAGTCTACAGATGCACACAGTAAAGGGTTATTGTGGTTAAAATCCACATGGTCGGGTTAATGTTATGATGCCCACCTGTCTGCTGGACATGCTGGTCATTAGTACACACACAGTGATACTGACTGGTCCCATTTTACCTTTCCCTCCTCCTCGCACAGGCTCCTCATTGACCACAGACAACTCTCTGTTGCGGGCCACTGTGCCGCACACCCCAACCACTAAATCCTGGATAATGTCTCTCAACTCCACGAACGACTCTAGGCTAAAAACATGGCTGTCATAGGGTTCGCTAGCCATCTCCTTCAGCTCAGCATCCATGGCATCTTGAACGCCCACTGCAAAAACATTCACTTGGGCCATTTGTAACACCCTTGCTGGTTCCAAAACATCGTCCTGGGACCTCCCGTCTGTCAGAACCACCACTATTTGGGTCACTCCATCGGCCGCACGGCTGCCTGAAGCGCTGGTCAAATGAGCTCGTGTCAAGAAGTCCAAGCCGAGGCCAGTCCGAGTCCCCCCGCCATCGTATGACATAGCCTGGATGTGAGACAGCGCCCCCTGTGTTGATTGGTAAGTATTGAGCTTAAATTCAGTTTTTGGTTTGCTATTGTACTGCACCAAGGCGAACCTAAATGCGTCCCCTCCGGTTTGGTGCAAGGCGCGAACCGTGCTCAGTAAAAAATATCGGACATGTTCAAAGTTCTCCTCTCCCATACTCCAGGAGGTGTCCACAAGAAAGTACACATCAGCTCCCAGCCCGTGTGCACAATCTTCAGAGAGAGAAAACTCAAGGTTACTCGATGTAACCCTGGTTCTCTGAAAGTGAAGTCAACTTTGTTCAAAATCCAACAGTGACACAGCAACAGATTAAGATAGATCAATAAAGCAGATATATATTCGAAATTCCTGTTCAAAGTATAATGTTCAGGATTTATTACCTACCATTTTTGTAAATTTATTCTATATACGATGCAGGAATATGACTGTAGAGACGTTGAATCAATAATAACAGAATATAACACTTATTTACCTTTCTTACTAAAAAAAAAGTTTGGTTATATACATTCAATGCAAATGCTACCCATTACGCCTTTAGACCACAAAGTAAATAAGTTAACAAAAACAACCAAAACGGTGTAAACCAACTTTAGATGTCGTGACTTACCTTCCTGAGCTTGGAGGTTTGAGGGAAGTCCTATAAAGAGAGGCGCCAGAAGGGCACAGAGCGGTAAAACCCTGTGCCACATCTTCTATCACTTTACCCAACGGGTCAGACCTGGAAGAGACAAAAGCAACTCAAGTTAGACTAGACTTCACAGAAAAGAAATTAGAAGTTGGATTAAGGCAATAATGAAATGGCAGGAGGGTCCGTTAGAGTCTTATGAGGTCTAACTATGAGGTCAGTGGTGATGATCCAACATTCAACAACATTTATGGACATTGGTCAACTCCCTATGGACCAATACCTATGTGTTTTATTGTCATGGTGTAGAGTAGACTTTTAACCATTTTGACCTGTATTTTCTTTTTTTTTTAATATCTGTTCTCTTTTAGTTTTGAGTTTGCTTCCGGTCCCCTGTTTATTGTTTTCCCAAATGTGATTGCCATGACTATAACTATACTCCTGTCTCCCAATCCAAAAACTAAAACATATACGATCCACAAGTTCCTTCTTTGATTTCATGACACATACAGCAACATGCATTTCCTACTTTATCTGTCCTCACTATGATTTCGGCTGTAGTCTGTTCATTGCTATTCATCCACTGTTCCATTGTCTGTTTCATGGCGTGATGATGGGATCCTGGACCAAAGGTGCTATGTGTTTTTATATCATTGCATTTCTTGCGTTAGAACTGTACGGTTCTCGGATCTGTGATGGTTAATTTAACAGTTTTGCCAAGTCCTCAGAGACAACTACTGTCGGGATTTAGGGCCAAGAGCCACACAAGGAAAACCACCAAGAGCTGTAAGACAACCCAAGTGTGAGTTTATTCATTAGTAAATGAAATAAGTACAATGAAAAACAGGACCGCTCTGAAACTGTCTGCTCTGAATGAGAAAACAACTGGACATTAAACAGACCAGAGTAAATAACAAATATCTGCTCTAGAAATTACACAAATAGAGTCAGTATTGATAAGAGTGTCTCAAGGCTTCTCTTCACGCTTCCTTACGCTGATACAACTCTGATGCAGCGATGATACTGCTCTGACACTGGATTAGCTAATATCATAGAGAGTGGATAAACAGATGGACAGATAGAGGGGGAAGGACAGATTGATAGATAGATAGATACATACATAGATAGATAGATAGATAGATAGATAGATAGATAGATAGATACATCCCTGTAGGGGAAATGCAGCAAAACACATCCATCTTAACAAGCAAAACAATGCCAGCCTATTTCAGAACAGGTACTCCCACAGTGCCAGCCATTTCTGATGATTTTTACTGATTTTTCAAGACCCACAGAATATTGTGTACTATGACTATCTGAAATCCGATTTTTCGTTCCCCTGTAATCCTCCGTCGAGTAGAGGGAAGTTTTACTGAAATCACCAGAAATCACCAGAAAGTTGAGAAAAAAGAAAAAAGAAAAAAGATAAAATATGGTCTCAAGTCATCCCCATACATATACAGATACAATAGACATCTGGGAACGTGAAAATAGCGAAAAAGGCATTTGACGTATTAATGCGTCAATGGTACACGACGTTACTATTTGCTTTGACGTATTTGTGCGTCAATGGGACACAATGAGTTTTAAACATATAATTCTAAAAGTAGCAACAATAGTATTAAAATGCAACAGCACTTCAGGTTACAGCAGCAGAGGTGGCGCAGCCTCTTGGACATTTTTCAAGAAGTTAGCATTCCTCCGGTGGATCTTCACCTAATCTACTACGGTAAGATTTCTTTTAACAAATGCATAATCTACTTTTGTTATCTTTTTTACATAAGATAGGGCTGTGATCCATCAAACCTCGTCATAAGCACGACATCACCAATAACAAACGTGGTGTAAAATGTAATAAGTCACTCAGTCTCCAGGGCTAACGCTACGTTGCTATGTTAAGAAGTGGTAATGGTGAATAGCTCCTGTTGATGTTTCTGCCAATATGTTTTATTACTCCTTTTTGTTTGGCACCCACTGCTTTTTCCACCTCACAAAATCTAGTTTGGTGAGGCTTTGGAATATAAACATTTTTACAGCATGAGCTCATTTGTAAAGAAAGCTTTGGGAATTTATGATTGGAGAAATGTGCTTTGGCGGAACAGAAGCTTTTTACAATAGCACCAAAGTTAACTTCTTATTTATTGCGCTATTCAATAAAAATGCGGGTAAATTCAGTGACAATGCAGGGCTGAGGTGTGAACGGCTGAAATAGGAGCACACACGGTTATAGAAGGAAAATCCCATCATATAAATTGAATTAATGGTGCCAAAAGCTCAAGCTGAGACTGGATTGGGGAGTAAGAACATTTTGACTCTTTTGTGACTGTTTGGCCTGAAACAACCCAATGGAAAGCAAAATGTCTCATAGTAATCAATGTGATGTTAGAAATGTAACGTTACTACTTTATCACATCGTCTCCATGGATATGTCACTGGAATGTTTATGGTTATTTATGTGTTTGCTGCAAGCGACAATATTCGACAAAGATAGAGGCAGACTGTAAGAATACACCTGTTGGTACTTTAACAAAAAACTCATACATTTTTATTTTTACTTTGTAAGTTTAACGTCGTCCTAACCTCTCAGTGGATCTGGATCCTCGCAAAAAATGTCAGTGTTTCTTGAAGCTCCTCGCTTTGGACTCATATATGAAATTACTTGAAAAAAGTATTTCCACACCAGGATTTGTGGAAAGAAAAATCATACTGTACCTCTCCATGTGATCATCATTTAACTTCTGTTCATGTTGTTTCTGTTGAAAGAGCCCTGGAAGTCGCTGTACAACTCTTTTGGCTTAGAGCCTGTTATAGGATCTCTACCACCCTTTCAGTCTGAAGAAGCTGATCTTAAAGGACAACTAAATACCAAATACACTTTTTTAACTTACAAACAGCTTACATATGTTTTTTATAGCACTGGTCAATTTGACATTTCGGTGAAAATTAAATAAAATACGACTTTTGAGCCGGAAACTGTCGCCCTCTCTCCATTTTTGGTGTAACTACATTAAAATTTAGTGCCTGGCCTTTCCAGTGGCTCTGAAGGGCAGATTGACATCACACTGAGCAGTGTGACGTCACTTTGTGCCTGTGGTATAAAACCATCCAAGTTGCAAGTTGGAGTATTCTGGCGAAATCTAGTGGTTTAAAATTAAATTACATCCGTTGACATCCACTACTGCTGAGATAATTCTGCTTAGGTTCAGGTAAACAAGGGAATGAGAATTTATGATGTGTAAACTATTGCTTTAAGCAGCATTGACAACTGTCTGATTTTTTTTGATCAGACTATGCCTGACTCTAAGCCCCCTTCTTGTCCCCTGGTCCTCTAGGCAACGCCCTATTAGAGAAAATTGTCAAATGTCCATGTGGGCGGAGTAAGGCCCACAGGTGTTTAGTTTTCCTTTAAGCTGTGGGCGAGGGCAAAATTCTGCCTCTGCAAACTGCTAATATTCCAAAGAGTTGTGAGAGCAGAAAAGCAGTCAAATCAGGTATCCCAGCTTTAAAACACTACGTTTAGAAACACATTTTAAGTTTCTCAGACATTAAGCAAATCAAGGGCACGTCACCCACATAGTATGAACCATGTGTGTTCATGATTGGTTGAGGGTGGTCAGAGGGGCCATTAGTGCAATTTGACAGCATCCATTAGTCTACCCCAGGGCAGCTGTGGCTACAAGTGCATTATCTATCTTATTTATGTCTTTATTTGAATAGGGACAGTACGCATTAATCAACATTTCTGTCAATAAGCCAGTTTCCAACTGTCGCCCAGAGGCAAGGTGTTAGAGTTGAAGTTAGTATTAGTTTTTAATAGTAGTTTTAATACAAAGGGAAATAGCTGAAATCAAGTCAAAAGACACACGGTTTTACATGAATCAACCATTTAAAGACTGAACTGTGAATCCCCTTTGGAAAATATCTGGATAGTATCAGAAGTGATGAGTAGAAGCCCAAGTTGAAAAGCATTTTGACCAAGTTTGGAATGCAAGGATCAAGCAGACTTAGATCAAAGCTACAGTGATAAATACAGGCTCCAAAAGCTCTATGAAAAGCAGGTGTAAAAAGTATGTGAGAATATGAGAGGCCTTTAGTCAGCGTTCAGAGCCAGAAATAGTGCTGGAGTCACACACACCACTTTGAACGTCCATCGCATCAGATCTGGCAACGCTACTTGTTTTGGTTGAATCAGTCATTTCCTCTCGGCTCAAGGAAATCCAGTCTGTGTGTGCATGCATGCATGTGTGTGTGTGTAAGCAGGGCAGGGCCTGGTTAGTGCTGTGATGGGAGACCTGTGTGATGGGAGAGCTGTAAAGTGCCAGTGTTTGTGTCCTTAGGCAAGACACTACCCCCACACTAGAATAAGTCTGGAGTGTGTGTGAGTGGTTGGTGGTACGGGCCGATGGCACGGACCGGTTGCCTCGCTTCTGTCAATGTGCACCAGGGCAGCTGAGGCTACAGTAGTTTTTTGTCACCACTATGTTTGGAGTGAAAGAATAATGACATGTGAAGCGTTTTTGAGGGTCTTGAAAAGCGCTGTATAAAACCAATGCATTATTATTATTACTATTATACTACTACTATAATGAAGGTTACTGTGTATTTTAGTATAGCTCTCCTGTAATGTTGCTTGTACATTCATATTTATCCATTATTCTGAGCATAGCTAAAGGGGATCTAAATAAAAACCAAAAACTGCTCATGCATAAAAGACAAAAGTATATGTGTATAAATGTGGATAACTTTAAAACTGGGGAATATATCTTTTTTTGTCTCCATAAACTATACATGTTGTCCGTCCCAACAGAAAGATTCTTATAAAAAGTTGTTTTCATAATTATGTTGTATACTTATAAGAGGGAAACCTGTGAGTCACTATTTGACGCTTGGGGCTGAGAGCTGATTGGCCGAGTAAAGGTAATCCTCTCTTTTTTGTTTGAAAAATCTGATCTAAGGACATGGCAAAGTGACAAAAATACATTCATGGGAAATGCAAGTGATGTAAGAGCGAGAGACTAGTTAGATGGACTCTATTACATTGTTAGTGTTTTGTGGATTTAAAGTTAGGTAACCCGGCTTTAATATTGTGCTGT